CTTTACCTGCAGAAATTCCTTCGTCGTGCCGAGGCACCGCAACGAATAAATTTAATCCGGATTGCAGGAAGGAGCTCTAATCCGACGAAAGGAGCTCCGTCCTAACGTGCCTTCAATATTTTCGGAGGATTCATCGATTCTCCATTGGTAGAAAACACCTTCGAGTATCATCGTTAAATCGTCTTATTAATATTAATGAGAAAGTTGGCAACTTCCTTGTGCTAGTTCGTGCACAAATAAGTGCGAAGTTAATGACTTCCTGTTTTACTACTGTTACTATTACTATTATTTATAGTTAGAGAAATTTCTACTCTTTCTATCTTTTTTCCTCTATTTTACTTCACACGATTAAATCTTAGTAAGGTCCTCCTAACAACTAACCACTATCAAGCTTCGCGAAAAAAATACCTACTACTTCGAGAAAAAAAGACAATACACAAAGGTTGGAAACAATGAGACTTTATATTTTACGAAACTCATTGATTTCTATACTGCTATGTAACTTAGGTTAGGTTTTCCTTGCTAAATCGCTTGCGCGGAACACCGTCGAGAAATACGGAACGATAATCGACTTTAGGGGAGTGCTAATCGTCTTTTCTCTTATCATAACCTATTTGGCGCGTTCTATCGAGATTTAGGATGAATTACTTGGCCCTTAAAAGATCGAACTTCTTTAGTATCTGGAGACTTATACTTCGTTTTAAAATGGGGTAGTTCTTTGTCGATAAAACAGAAGTATTTATATCTTAATCATCGATAAGGAAGATTACCACTTATTTTTCCGATTTCTCGATAAAAGAAAAAAAGAAAAAATTTTTAATGAACATTTTTCGTCGAAATTTTTAAAAACATTAAAAATCTTTTTGTTGTTCTCTGTGCGTGTGTATATATACGTGTATCATGATGTATCAAGTCCTTCGAAGCAATTTACAAAGTCAATATGAAAAGATTTATGCCGACGTAATTCGAGCTCAACGAGAAATTTCCATATTTCATTGGATCTGATTAATATCGCCTACGATTACTGTTAAATTGCTTAACTTCTTATTATTGTAATATCGTTTTAAACTGTTCATTATAAAAATTATCTCTTACTTCTATCTATTTATCCTCACAAATAAACAATCCCTTGGCTTTAATATTTATACATACGTATCATTCGATTTAAAAATTCGTCTACTCGTTCAATTACGACCTTGAATATCAAGTTCGAATTTTAAATTACACAAAAAGCGTGGATAAATTATTAAAAAGGAAAAAAGAAAATCGCACAAGTTAACATATTGATTTTCAAGAAAATACTTATTAGATCATACATCGAAACGTTTAAGTTTAAATCATTCACTGTCTGAAATAGTTTCAGTTTTTTCGACGTACTTCTCGAATCGTTTGAAACGAATACTTACGCGCTTCTAGAGCTTAACACCGTAATAAGCGCCCTCCCACCTATCACTCCATCTACAGATATACACAGAGAAATAATTCTCGTTCTATCCTTCGCTTCATGCGTCGTAACTTTTTAAAAGAGCGCGAGTACGGTTCTGTCTGTTGTGTTGTTCGTAACCTCGGTGTTACAAAAAAATGTGGTGAGTCGATCGATAATTATTATTAATGTTTCTACAAAGTAACTGTTTTGTTTACAAACACGAAGTCGACATAACCTACGATTTTTGACACATGACCTGTTGACGATCGGTCGATTGCCGGAATTTCAGCATAATCGATAAAGTTATACATACATGCACGTGTATGAATATATATATACACATTACATAGTTATCTTTGGTTTACTTTTTGAGAAAAATTGTTACCAATAAGATATCATTAGTATTATATGTAAAGGAACTTTAATGCAACAATATGTAATGTTTCGTGTTTTTTATCATCAGGATTTGCTTTTAAAGATGCACTATCCATACCATGGCACGATGGTCGACAGTATTGTCGGGGGTATTTCTGGCCCTTTCCATGATCCTCTCACTGGGCAAACTTCTGATGCTTGCTGCTGGAAATGGAAGCAACGGAGATCTCACAGAAGCAGATCAATGGCTTGCTGAGATTGGGTTTAAGCAATATCGTCCTCTGTTTAGAAAGAAAGGTTTGTATCTTATTTTCTTTTATCAAAATTTTATTTCAACGTTACAAATTGATTTATTATAACAGTTCTAAGAGAATTAATAAAACAATCATTTGAATTCTATTTATTATGTAAAATTTCACTGTTAAAACTTGTCTACAAATAGTTCAAATAGAAAAAGAACAAATAAGTAACTTCAGTCACCTTTGCTACTGATTTCTTAATACGCAATACATAATATAAAACAAAAACGAATACTATAGTTTTCTACTAATCTATAATACTAAATCTTATGAAACATTTTTTTCTGATATCGATAAAACATTTTTTATAAAGAAGAACACATCACTTGATATTAAACAAAGATTTTATTCTTTGATACAACGTTGTTATCTTATTTTTGGTTTTAAATTCTATAGATAAGAAAAGAAAATGACACATTCAATTGAGTTATCACATAGTATGACTAATTGTTTGTGACAAATTAGTAAAGCTGATAATTTATGAAACAGAACAATGAAGCTTTTATCTTCTATTATGCACGCACATGCAGCTTATATAATCGATCGTGAAATAAAAGAATTTATTGAAGATATTTGAAAGAATTTCGAAATACTCTTATTTTTTCTTTGCTAATTCGAACGAACGAATATAAATAACAATGTCATTTTAAATTATAAAGTAAATATCGATTTGAGGATAGATAAATGGAAATAAACTACGCATCACGCGATTCCTTGAATGCAATAAATATATATTTAAAAAACAAAAGGAAAAAAAAGAAAGATAAAGAATCGTAACATCATTTATGAAAGAGGGTAGGGGCATTGATAATTTTCGGTCCAGCTCGATCAAGAGGATTTACAGGATATGCTGACATTGCTTTGCTCGTGTCCTGGCCCAGTTGGCTCGCAGATATGAGACTTGAAGCGCTTGCGCGACCCAGGCCTTTCTACAACCTCCGTCCTCCTCCTCCTCCTTCACCTCATCTTGCTCCTCCTCCTCCTTCTCCTTCTTTTTAACGGAGTACATCTTGCACCTCGTTTCGAGGCTGGAAGGAAGGAACGGATTCAGAGTTTTCAGCTGCAGCAATGTCACTGCGCGATGTTCGCACTCGGGAGTGGGAAAGAACCCTCGTTCTCTCTCGTTCTTTTGTGTATGTTTGTGGCTGACCCCCAAGAGTGCGCTCAGTACACCACTTCAAAGCATTCATACGGACTAATTTCTCTAAAAACTAACGAAAAAAAATGTCTACGTCCTCTTTCTCGTTTGTTCTACAACGAACATTCGTTCATCATCATCATCATTATCATCATCATCTTTCTTTTTTTTTCTCTCTTTTTTTGTCATTTCTCCTTGAAGAAAAAAATCTAATCCTTATATTAGTTCTTTTGTTTTTTTTTCTTTTCTTTTTTTATGATATAAGTGTAACATAATGAAACGATATTACTTGATATTAAAGATAAATCACTTTACGTTTCGATTAATACGAACAACCTTCATTAAATCGCGATTATCTTTGCGTTAATAAATCGTCGGACAATTTTCTTATTATGTAGGCACACGTAGGCCATTACGTTCAAGTTCCTAGTTGAGTTTCGCTCGATAAACATTAAAATTTCACGAAACAGATATTTTCGTGCGGTTTCCCTTTCCACTTTTGGATTGTGGAAGGTTGCTACGTGTCACCAAGTATAGCTCATCTTTGCTGTTTGACCAATAACTAAAGAACTACTTCGATGCGTGCTATTCATTGCATGTGCCAAATTAATCGAACTACAACGACCTATGATTTTCATAGCATAACGACCACTTCAATTGTTCGATTACGTTCTATTGCTAAATATTATCAAGCTCGACGTTATTTTATATATCGTATAAATCAATTGAACTAACAAAGTCGATATAATAAATCAATACATTTCATATTTATTTCATAGTAAGAAATTCTTATATCGGAAAAAGATAAATTCGAAATAATATATCAATTCATTTCGTATTTATTTCATAGTAAGAAATTTATATATCAGAAAAGATAAATTCGAAATAATAAAATTTCATATTTATTTCACATTAATTAATTCATATTTAAGGAAAACAACAAAATAATAATCGTCATTAAATGAATATGAAAAGAATGAACGAATATGTCCTAATAAACGTCCGGTACTCTTGTACTTTGTACCACTTCTTTCTTATCCTGTCCTTTCAGAAATGTCAAATGTGACAAAAGATCTAACGTTCTATTTCGACAAGTATAATACAAAAGAAAAAAAGAAAAAATTGAAACAAACGAAGAAGTAGCTGTATTACGTGGACTTTTATAATTAGATGGATATCAATATTAAACCTTTCCATTACGAGGTCACCGCTGGCATGATAACAATACGTTTGACATTATGACAACTTCGTTTAATAATTAAAACAAATTAGTACGAAGAAAATTAAAAAAAAAATATATATATATATATATATATAATAAACGAAATTTATATATACGAGAGATATAAATTTCAGATAAAAAAAACTAGGAAAATAATTATAATGCAAAAGATTTAATATCCTTTATAATCCAATTTTTTATCGTGTCTGTAAAAAAATTGTCTAACAGGTGAAAGTTATGATATTACTATTGTAACTTTTATGTGATATAATATATTACATATGCTAGTATAGATTAAATATAAAAGTTCTATTAAAAAAAAAAAAAAAGAAGAAAAGAAAAACGAGAGAAAAAAATTTCATAACGATAAAATGAAATAAAAAATAAATAAATAAATAAATATATATATATATATATATATATTTATATATATATATATATATTTATATATATATATTTATATATATATATATATTTATATATATATAATATTAATTTATATATATAAATATATATAAGCGTACGTGAATTGAAAGTTACGTAGACTTTTATAGAGGGTTAAAAAGATAACGAGACATTTTTGGCAAATACTTAGTATCAATAGAAAATACGATAGAGTGGAAGAAGCGCGTAATCGGTTAAAGATCGAAGGAGTCGGGAAGGACGCGCGTTTAAGAAGGTCGAGTCAAAGTGGGGATGAAAGAGTAGAGGAGTGGGTGCCTTGGCTCTATCGAGGTGGAGGGGGAACTCAGAGACGCGTCTCGCGAGGGTGCAGTAGTCGTGAAGCGTGAGGCCGCGGGAGCCGATCACCTTAGTGAAGTTCGCGCGTGTCCGGCAAAAATATGCGCGCGGCCAGAGGGCGCGTCCTTGTCGACGGGGAAACCGCGAAGCGCGAGCCTCCTTCTTGGAACCTTTGACACGCGCCGCCACCGCGAGTAGTCGCGAGCGATCCTTAGTAGACGCGCCGTGTCGTGTCTCGAGTAGAAGCTTCGCTTTTTTATTCGACACTTTAAACCTTCCCCTTTTTGATCTAATCTTTCTTATTTTTCTTTTAATTTCTTTCCCTTCTTTCTTTTCTTTATACATTCATTTTCATTTATCTTTTCTACTTCGTTTCTCGTAGATCAACCTGCTCCGCTAAGCTTTCTCAAATCGTAAAAAAAAGATTTTTTATTGCTGTTCGTGCTTTTCTTCCTTCACTTCTTCTTCGTCTTCTTCTCCGTCTTCGTCTTCGTTTTCGTCTTCGTCTTCGTCTTCGTCTTCGTCTTCGTCTTCGTCTTCGTCTTCGTCTTCGTCTTCGTCGTCTTCGTCGTCGTTGTTGTCTTCATCGTCGTCGTCGTCGTTGTTGTTTATTAAATTTGCAAGGTCCTTCCTTTCCGCTTCGTCTATTTCTACTTCTTGTTATTCTTGTTCTTCAATACCCCGCGTCTAAAGTCGATCACCCTCCGCCAAGACGATCTTCTCCGACAGGCACGATGAAGTATTAGTCGAAATCGTAAGTGACATTTCTCTTCGACTTTGTTTTTCTTTTCTTTTATCGACATCGATCTATCTTTTTCTCTTTTTTTTTTTTTTTATGTTCGGAAAGCTCTTTTTGTTTACTTACAAATATGTAATTATGATGAGAGAAAGAAAGATCTTTGTTTTTCTCTTTGTGAATATGTTTTAGTTAGTTTTTATATAGAATCATTGTATGTTTTCTTCACGAGTGGAAAATTGAGTGTATTGATATTTTTGTTCGATAAATTTTCATTTTTTTTCCTTTTTATTTATTTATTTTTTTTTGTTATTTAACGAATAAAAAAAAATATAGCGAGACAAAATCTGCTGGTATGAAATGTACGAAACACAAATTTTTCTAAATATATCATTTTTTTGAAGAAAAAAGTGGTAAAAATATATAAAAATAATATGCTATCTAAGATAAAAATTAGGTTTTCTTTTTTTTTCGAAGATTAGCCGTGATATTTCATATGTTTTAATGTACGTCAGAAAAAAAAACTCTTATATAGAAATTTCGTCAAAAATCTGTAATCGTTTTAATCTATACTCAAATATATTTTTAATTGAAAGATTCATGTTAATCATGTTCAACACGAATGGAAAAGAAAGCTTATTCAAATATGTTTTTATTCCTATAAAAAGATTCTCTTCCATTTATTCTTATTTGCATTTTTAATTAAATGCAAAGTTCACATGCATGACATGTGAATTCGAAAGTTCATTATCTTGAGAAGGGTTGTATTACGGTTTGTTTCGTGTACAAAAAGTGTGGGAGAGAGGGGTTGACGTCACAATTTCCACCACCCCTTATGCTAGAAGTAACGATACGATCTCGTACATGCGAGCTATTCGAGATTTCTGAAAGTAGTAGATCCTCTAGAGAAGGAAAGAGGGAGAGAGAGAGAGAGAGAAAGAGAGAGATATCACTAGTGTGTCCTGCATTGCGGAGATTTACTCGTACTACTCAAGCATGAACGCGAAAGTACTACCTCCACGCGTTTTACGAGTATCAAGTTCACACCATTTTCTTCTTCCTCAACAGTTTTCTTTCCTAAAGTATATTGGAATTTGTCATACCTAATCATTGTTTTACGAGATGAAAAAGAAAAGAATATCAATCTCGAGATAGAAAGTTTTATTAATTTTTACAATGAATCTCGTTTCATAGTTTATAGCTTTAGATCGTAAAAACGTTCTCTTTAATGACTTATTACTATGTAATATATGTATGTATGTATGTATGTATGTATATACCTTTGAGAAATAACAACGTATCTCCGTCGATCATGACATTTACGACGTTACTTTCGACAGTTATTGCAATTTTATTTCTAAATCGATGATCGCTCGGTCTCGCATCCTAAATTTCAACGTCGATTTCGAAGTACGTAACAAATACTAAATTTATACTAAACTGAATAACTTGCCGTCAAGATGAAATGTTTCGATCGTTTAGGCATATCGCCTGCTTTGATATTGTTAGTTTTCTATTCTTTTTTTTCTTTTCTTTTCTTTCCTTTTTTTTTTTTTTTTTTTTTTTTTTTTTTTTTTTTTTTTTTTTTTTTTTTTTTTTTTTTTTTTTTTTTTTTTTTGAAAAGTTTATAGATAAGAATGAACGTGTATGCTTTCCTTTCACACGGTCAACGTCAAAACTCGATCAAAAGCTTTTGAAAAAGAGAAAAAGAACAAGTTCAGAGATGTAAATTTCAACGCACGGCTGAACGAAAATCGATTCGTTGAAAACGCGCCATTGCGACGAACAAGTATACTTGCTATAAATTAATTCGATTTTTTTATGCTTATTTGTTTTTTTTCTCTTTCGGCTTCATTAAAAAAATTCTTGCGATACTGAATTGATTTCTTTTTGTTCTTCTTTTGTTTTTTTTCTCTCACCTTTGGCTTTATTAAAAACATCAACAAGTAAAAATATTCTCCTTATCCTAAAGTCGATAAAAACGAGAATATTATTCGTATAAAATAAGAGAAAGAAAGATACAAAAAAAAGGAGAGAGAGAGAGAGAGAGAAGAGACGAATTTTACCAAGTGGATAAACTAATTTTTTCCCTTCTTGATAAAACGAGAGTCCTTTTTTACGCAAAACATAAAGCGCGTCTTGAAACATACGTTTCAAGTACTTCCGCGATATGGATTCCTAATAAACTCTTAAAAAAATATTTACTTGGAGATCATCTCATGAAACTTATTACTTTTTCTCTTTCTTATCCTTTTTCTCGAACGAGAGTTTCGGAACTTTATAAAGTAATTTTCGAAAAACATGTCGATTTCATTTTGTAAATGAATATATTTTCTACGTGAAGAAAAATAGAGAAAGAGAGAGAGAGAGAGAGAGAGAGAGAGAGAGAGAGAGAGAGAGAGAGAGAGAGAGAGAGAGAGAGAGATGGAATTATCTAAAAAAAAAGTATTTAATATATACGTAAAATTTGATTTATCGTCGTCGATTTTAATTATCTTCTCTTAAGTACAAAGCTCTTGAAAAAAGGGGCGAAAAATAAAAAAAAAAACATGACTACTTTATCGAAAGTTTATTTGAAGGTAACGGAATCGAACGATCGTACCCGTGCGAAAAGAAAACGCGCAAAAAGGTGAAGGTCGGTGAAAGGAATCAATTCTTTTATCTTTATTAACTACTACCTTGCTTACATGCGAAGTTCGACAAATCGATTTCTTGGGTAGTCAAATAGTAGATATGTTTTATCCTTTGACGTTGACATGATCCTTGCTATCATTCGATCGATCGATCAATGAAAAAAAAATTATCTAAATATTTCTTTTCGTTTTAATCGACAAAATCTTTGAGAATGGTAATATTTCATGATTATCCTAGCTCGAAATCTCTTTCGTTTATATTGCAACTTAATGAGGTGGAAACGAAGGAAATGAAACTAGATCAGAGCTTCGTTGAAAACGTATCGTTAAGAGTGAAATTCTACAACCAAAAGAGAATCGTAAATGAAATCGGATTTGAACGACAGAGACTATTCTGTTTATATATCAAACCGATTAAACACCGATTAGAATGATTAGAAGAGAAACGCAATAATAGCGCATATGTGTATGTATACTTATCTAATTTCCTTGCAAAATAGACAAGTTCAGTCCTATTCGAAAGTTAAATAAATGTAAGAAATATTCTAGACGATTAATTATCGAATTAGTTGAATTATTTATAAACAATTATATGATACGATTTAAAAGATTAAAAAATATTTTTCTCTCTTTCTATACAGCGTATATGTATGCATATACTTTGTAGAATAAACGAATTCAATCTTATTCGAAAGTTAAATAAACGTAAGAAATATTTTAAACGATTAATTATGGAATTATTTGAAATATTTACACAGTTATACGATACGATTTAAAAGATTAAAAAATCTTTCTTTCTCTCTTCCTATACGATATGCATATATGTGTATATATGCACATTTATTTAATTTCCTTATAAAATAAAAAAATTCAATCCTATTCGAGAATTAAATAAATGTAAGTAATATTCCAGACGATTAATCACCGAATTATTTAAAATATTTACTAAGATTTATAGGATACGCTTTAAAAAATTTGTTTAAGTTGATGAAAAGAGATTCTCTAATTAAGTTCATTACGAACAACGTGTGTGCGCCCTCGATTGTGCCTAGGACGCGAAAGAAAAAAAAGAGAAAAAAATGAAGTTCTAATTAGTGCAACGAACAATTCTTCTATCTTTTGTCCATCTTAGACAATATGTACGGTCTCTTAAATCCTTCACGTGATTCGTATCGCCTATGCGATGCATATCTACGGTATGCTAATGTGCCATACTAAAAACTGAGAATAAAAGGTATTTGGAAAAAGAAGTGATTTCAAAGTTACCCTGAAAAAGAGAAAAGAATACTTTTTATTTTTCTCGCAAACGCGTACCCATTGTTGAATAAAGTTTTAAATAGCATTCACCACTCACCCTAATAATTAAGCTGGAAGAAAAAAAGGAACAAGAGTTAAACAAAAGATTTGAGACAAAATATATTTTTGAAATAATTTTTATAAATATTATCGTACCTTCTTGGAATACAATCTATAAACGATATATGTGTTCAATAGATATAAGATAATATATAATTATATTATATTTATAATATATTATATTAAATCAGATTACGAGATAAAAGATTCGATTCTACAGACCTTACCGACTATTTCTAACACAACAAACGATTCTAATGGTTTTGTAAAGGCTTAAGATGTAGGATCAGATACGTATTACATATGTAGATATACACACCGAGAAACTTTGTTTGATTTCTTTCGTTGGAAGATGTAAACACAATGTTAGTGCACATGTCGAAAGTTCTACTTTCGAAATATAATGGTAGTTCGTTTTCAAGGATAGCTGACAGACACGAAAGAGTAAAAGATATCTTAAGATGGAAATTGAATTTGATAATCCTGACCCGGTATCGCATGCAGCGAATGCAAGCAGAGAGAGAGAGAGAGAGAGAGAGAGAGAGAGAGAGAGAGAGAGAGAGAGAGAGAGAAAGAGAGAGAGATGGAAAACAGCGAATCGATCTGGCCTACCTTCATAACACCTACTACTCTCTTATGCATAATCATGAGTATGTGTGACATACATATGCCCCGGTTTTCCTTCTGGTTCTCCTCTTTCTCTTAACGCCGAAAGGATCGTTAGCACGAAGTGATACCAGCGAAGGATATCTGTCCGAAAAGGTCAAGGGTCCAATGCGAATTTTTCCAAATGCTTCTAATGAAATCTGATACCATTCTTGCCTGAAAAGAAAATATTTTTCTTAGATAATGTACGACGCTATAATTCGTCGATCTATGAAAAAAGATAAAATAAAATTAAAAAAAAAAAAAAAAAATAAAAATAAAAACGAAAGTAAATTTATTAGTTGAATACTAATAAATGTTCCATTAGAAACCAGCATGATTTTATTCTCTTTTTTTCTTTTTTTTTTTTTTTTTTTTTAACGTGCTTTTATAAAGATAATCTCTCAATGAAATATTCGTCATTTTGCCAAACAAAAGAATTGATTTGTCCGATCGTTATTTTCACGAGGCAACGACTCTAATTGGAATCATCGAAAATCGTGAAGAATCGTAATTATACTAAATGAGAATCTCGAGTATTTCTCGTGTATAAGACGACTCTCTCTTTAGAAATGACATAGAAAGAAGAGAAGAGATGTAAACGGGAAGGTGTAGGAGGAAGGGAATCATCATAGATATGGCGACCCTGATTTGACCTCGAGTGGACTCTCGACCCCTTTTTTTAGGTATCCTTAATTCATAGCATCCTATTACTGCTTTTGACAAATCGTTATTACATATCTTCGATCATGTGTGTCTCGTCCTTATTTTCTTTTTTGATTCGTGCGAATAAATCGTAAAAAAATTTTCTTTCTCGATAAACCGTAATTAAATTTCTTTTTAAATGCCTGTTAAAACGTAATATTAATGATTTATCGAAAATAAATTGCATGTATCGCGTTTTGGTTACAAATGAGAAAAAGCTATATAAAATGGATGGACTAATTTCTCTCATGAATTATCGATTTTTCTTCTATTGTATTCTACATTCGTAAGCGCGCGATTTTGTAGTGTATTTGTCATACGATTAATGCGATTTAAATTTATTACTCCTACTTCCGTATCCTTTCTCTCTCAACAAAACCAGTTTACTTTGCTGTGTATAGATACGCTTAAAATATTCATATATTTGCGTATATATTACCTATATATACCTATATAATATACATAGATTAATGCATTGATGTTAAATTGGCTCGCGTGTCGATAAACATCTTTTTTCCCTGTGTGAAACAAAAATATTACCGGAAATCTATTCATTTTCTAATAAACGTACATGACCCAGAATATATTCCACTCGCTATATTTTTCCAAATTTAGAAATATATTTTTCTCTTTCATTTCTTGGTTAATGCAATTTTCCACTCATTAGAATCAATCACATAGAATGATTCATAATAAATAGAAATAGAAATTGAAGAAAAACTATATCGTAGAATCGGATAGGAAGGACGAAGCTCGCGATAAAAGGAATCTTACAAATATTTTGTCTAAAAAAAAAAAAAAAAAGATGACCGCGACAACCGACGGACGTAATTGCGGAAAAAATACATCTTAGTCGATAAAGAAAAAGGTTTGTCAGAAGGGAAAAGAGACCCGAAGGAATTATGCCGGACAAAAATCCAACCTGTCGAGATGGGCAACGCGAAAACAAAGACTTCTTCGTCGATGAGATATCGTCGATCGGCATGTCACTGCGGCCCAGCGGCAGCGCCTCTTCCGGTGAGTCGACATCGATCGATTTTTCATTTTATTTTACGATATTTGTTCTTTCATATCTGTCTGTCTATCTCTTTCCCTTTTTCCCTTTTCCCATCTCTCTCTCTCTCTCCCCCACTCCCTCTCTCCCTCTCCCACTCCCTCTCTCCCTCTCCCACTCCCACTCCCTCTCTCCTATCTTTTCTTTCTCTTTCGTCTTCGAAATTTAGACATTTTTCGACGTATGTATTTTTCGAGATAAACGAGTAAACTGTTCATCCATCTTTCTTTCTATCGTTCGACATTTTGATAAAACAAAATATCATCGTGGCTGTTTTTTCCCCATAAAAAATTTATCTTTCCAGAAAATACTTTCCTTTTAACTTTTCACACAAATAAAAAGATAAATTAAGATTCATTCTTTCGCGCTTTCACAATTCGTTCGTTCGGATAAATTATAATAAATGCTAAAGTACCGATAAGTACTTTTAGAAACTTTGAGTGAACGCTCGCGTTAGTATACTTTGCATAATAAATTCGAAGTGGTATTTCCTTGAGTAAACGTGCCGACGGATCCGTATCAAAAGGACCTACTTTCTTACGATGATTAATTCTTTGAGTAAGAAAGGACTTGAAAGTACTTCAACGAAGAAAATTAATTTTACGATAATGTCTAATTAGATGGGTAAATGTAACAACATCATTTTTCTTGTTCTCTTTCTTATTAAGGCCATTTTATTATCATGTAAATTATAGAAAAAGAACATTCGAACGATATTATCAATTATTTCAGCTTAATAAAAGTATATATTGTTGAATAACAACATTAAAAATTCGATTAATCATAATTAAAAAAAAAAAAATCAAAGATTTAACTCACTGTTAAATCGAATTAAGCACTCGACTTCGACTCTCTAAGTTGTAAAAGTAAATTCTTTATGAAGGCACCATTTGTAGCAGAATTTGTCAATGATTTATGTCCACCAGTCACTAAACATTTCGTAAGATCTTTCCTCAATTGCGAACATTGTTGCGGTATTGATGGTGAAACGAGTAACATCCAAACTGTACGTAATTGATTGAAAAGATTCAAAATGACGCATTCAACCATTTGCTCGTTCTTATCCCCTAAGGGAATGGAATCGTCCATGGCACAGAGCCAAAGTACGTTGTCCAGCCATAATTCCAGACCACGCAGATCGATCTTGTAATTAACACCGTGATCTTTTAGCCACAGAGTTAACTAAAACATTCGAGATATATGAAATATTTTCGATTGATTAGTTTCTACGGGAATAAACTAACGGAATAATATTGAAGAGGTAACGTTGCAAATGTTGAAAGATATAGATAGGCAACAATAAAAAAAAAAAAGAAAGTAAGAACGTAAATTGGAAAAAATCAAATTGGCAACTTGACAAGTCTAATCATGTGGAAAGAGCTTTGTTCCGATTTACCTTTGCACGACATTGGAAGGTCAGTGGATTACCGTCGAAACGTAACTTGTCGAGGGCTCTCAACGGTTGCAGAACGTTGCTTTCCAAACATCCGAGTCGATTTTCGCTAAGATCGAGTCTGCGAAGATTCGACAATCTCTCGAAGGCTAACGACTGGATCGTCGTGATCTGATTATAGGAGAAATCCAACTGTTGCAAGGATATCAGCTCTTGGAACCAACGATCCTTCACTTGGCTAATGTTATTACTCGAGAGAGTGAGTTTCTGGAGATAAGTCAAGCCACGAAAGGCATCGTCGTCTATGTCCTTGATATTACAGTTTTGCAAGTTCAGAGCCACCAGATTCTTGGCGTATTTTGAAAATGCGTCTTTCGGGAGTTGACGTATATCAGATTGAAAGATCATAATCGCAGATATTACGTTATTGCCTTGATCCAAAGACTTTTCCAAACTTTCGTTTATACACTTCACTCGATTCCCAAATCCTATACGATTTATAAATAATTATTGTTAATTTATCCAATTCTCAGAAATTGCTTGTTATTGTAGTAATGCTAATAGAAAGGAATATTGTATATTCCTGTTCATTGCGTAATATTTGTTTGTGCATTTTAGTACTTAGAGCTCACGTCTCAATGCATCAAATATAGAATAGCGACTGATTTAATGGTAAATAGAAACATAATACGAATGTAAATATTCGTTATCGGCAACAACTATATTCATGAAGCGAGGATATGCGTCACAATTTATAGAAATTATGTTAATAAGACTATCGAGGATGCTTTAAAAGCATCAACTAATATATAAAGGGATATTTTACTTGTAGTTGTATTAGTAACTTCATCTCACCTTCTTCATAATTGTTAACGGTACACTTTGCTAATGTTATCACCATGAAATTGAAAATATAGAATAACACGAAGAATATACGATCCATCCTGAACAATTTTAAACTTTACTCTTCTCTAAATGATCTCTTAATTAAGAATAAAACGGAAATGTTCGTGTAGGATGGACAAATCCTTGCAACGTCGAAATTATCAATTTCAACATTTTCCGCTTCGTGATATGGTCATATCTTTGAAACAATTATTACGTAAACACAGTCTATTCGAACTCTTTTAAATATACTGATTCGTTCAAAAATAAAAATGAAAATGTCTACAATACGTTCGGTACTATCTCTTAATTTAAAGATACGTAATAAATTCATTTTCAATCGGATTTCGTTTTTAATGTTATTAGGTATCTCGACCCTCGCCAGCTGTGGTGAAGTCGACGCGCTACCCGAACTTCCGGCACAGGATGAAGAACGTTTACAACGTGCAGCACGTTTGTTGCAACAACGGCTTGTATTACGTCAATGGCTGGCGGATCATGGCTTACATAGCTATTATCAAAAGTAAGAAAAGCTTTGATTACATTTTGTTAATATAGAAAAATTCAATTTAATTCAAGTTGATTCACCGGATAAGAAAATAATAGAAATCATATTCTCTGTTTCCATCAGGTTAATGCAAATGGACGTTATGTCTCTGGAAGATGTATATTGGGTGGAGGACACTGCGGCACAAGCCACGCTTGGCAAGGATCTACAACGATGGATTCAGGCCAGGCAGGCATTACCTACTTCGAAGAGAGATTTAGAAACTTTAAAGGCGGATCTATGGAGTGCTGTTGTAAAAAACAGTCAACATCAAGACGCTTGGACATGGGGTATATTTGATTAAACTTTAATATCTTTTACATTTGTTACCGTTTATTATAACTCCCTCCCATTTTGTTATCTATTTTATTCATTAGTAATTAATATGAATCATTTACCTCTTTACAATCTCTCCTATTATTATTGTTTATCTATTCTTTATCATTATTCTTATCTTCGGATATTATTTCTCAGGTGGAATGTTAGTAGTATCCGTGTCAGTAGCTGGTTTAGTTACTCTGGCTGCTATGACGCAGCCTGCATTAGCACCAGAAGCTAAGCATTCTCTTTTGCAATATGTTACTGGAAAATATTTATTACCGAGCAACTGTCGTGTCCATTTTGAGTGGGAAGAGCCACAACTTGTAGGAGAAACAATGACTTTTACTGTAAAGGTAAAACAATTGAAATAAGTTATTTTGTTTTGATCCGAATTCTTTTTTCATTTTTATACAAAAAGGATTTTCTCTCTCTCTCTCTCTCTCTCTCTCTCTCTCTCTCTCTCTAAATATTACCTTCCTCAGTTCTATCAACGAAACGGTCAACCATATCCGATCTGCGACAAGGATAATCTCATTGTGGAAGTGACAGAAGGCTCGCGGAGAGTAGCTACTCTAATAGAATTAGGAGGTACCGATCCTTTAGCTGCAAATACTGCAGTAGTGAAGTTCACCGTCCGCCATGCTGGACAATACAAAATAGCTGTACTTATTGGATCATGTCACGTTCACGGCAGTCCATTTCTTAAAAATTTTCTGCCTGGTAAGAATATACTTGGTGTTAGAAAAATATATAAAATGAAAAATTTATTTCTTTTTTTTTTTTTTTTTTTTTTTTTTTTTTTTCTTTTTTTCTTTTTTTCTGTTTATAGGACCTCCAGATCCAAATAAAACCGTCTTCGTACGTCAAAGTTCTACGGTCGTTTGTACAGCTGGCATTGCACATTCAATGACAATAGAACCACGAGATGAATATAATAACTTATGCATATTCGGTCCCGGCGAAAAACCCACTAAAGGGTACGATGTCAATATTATTCAGGCAAGTGATTTTCTGATTGGGATTGGTCGAATCATTCGAGAAAAGATATTCATTAGAATATTTTAACAGCAGATAGGTAATCATGCGGAAAAAGGATCGGTTATAGATTACTCGATTCATCTCGACTACGATTCTCCAAATCAGAGAGTTCGATTGAAAGTTAGCTTTCCAAAAGGTGGTTGTTATCATGCGACTGTTAGCCTCGCAGGATTACAATTACACAATGGAGACTTTGACATTATCGTTCTGGAAAGTACGTTGAATAATTCCTTATAATTATATATATATTTTTCGTATGTTTACTATTCTCTTCGTTTTTTGTTCTTCTTTAGGTTCAGTTGCTAGATTGGTTCATAGTAATGTTGCTTCTAAAGATCCAGATATATGCTACGTTGCTAAATTATTAGGTATGCAAGGTGAAAGATTCTCTAAGCCAAAAAAAGTCTTTTGTTATATATCACCAAAGCAATTAACGATCAAGGAATATTTATTAAAATTCATTCCTAAAAGACTTGTTACTTTTAGACTATGTCCTTCGACTAAGGTAAGTGTTTATGCAACACGATTGAATATATACAATTTGTTAAAGAATTTTTACTTTCTTTATAAGATTATTTAACGTTCCCAGTTTCATTTTGACTGTTTGAACAATCATCACGAGGGATATCATTCGTTTTCAATAGACGACGGATGTCAACCACCTGTCGAATTAATTTCTTTATATCGCGATATAATAGCCGCTACCTTTACATTGTTTCTTCTTAAAAATATCGGTGGTAGTGAGACCTTCGCCGATAAACAAGATTTTTTTTATCACGAAGTTCGAAAACATCACCAGAAATATTATCATGAGAAACTTTCAATGAAAGTGCAACGAGACAAACTTTTAGAATCGGTAATTACTAAAATTTATTAAGATCATCCTTATTACAAGTACTTTCTAAAATTGCATATTTTGTGATATTTTCTATTGTTTTCAGTCGATGAAAGCTACTAAAGGATTTTCAGTGAGCGATTGGTGCAGAAACTTTGAAATAACGTTTCAAGGCGAACAAGGTAAAAATCAATAAATACTATCCATGCATACAAATATTATAATTCAACTTTGTTCACATCGTTGTTGTAAAATTTAGGAGTTGACTGGGGTGGTGTACGCCGTGAATGGTTCGAATTGATCTGCGCGGCTTTATTTGATCCAGGAAATGGTTTGTTTGCATCGTTTGGTGAATCCCAACAAGCTTTGGTACATCCTAACAGCAAACGACCAGCTCATCTTAAGTTAAAGCATTACGAATTCGCTGGTCGTATAGTTGGCAAATGTTTATACGAATCGGCACTCGGAGGATCGTATCGACAGTTGGTACGAGCAAGATTTACAAGATCTTTTCTTGCACAAATTATAGGTCTTAGAGTGCATTATAAGGTAAAGGTATCTGTACAAAATTCAAAATTTATTTACATTACTTTTTCAAATGAAAACCATAACTCATTATTTCACAATACTTTTTATAGTATTTCGAACAAGATGATCCCGATTTATATTTGAGTAAAGTAAAATATATTCTTGAAAATGATGTGGAAGAAATGGAATTGTATTTTGTTGAAGAGGAATACGATAAGGACGGTCAATTATTAAAGGTGAGCCAGAAAATTCAATTCATATGTTATGTGTAACTTATACTTTTTCTTTTTCTTTTTGTTTTCTTTTCCTTACAGGTAGCAGAATTAATTCCTGGAGGTAGTAAAGTACGCGTTACCAATGATACGAAACTTCGGTATCTAGACGCGTTAGCGCAACACAGACTCGCTAGTTCAATTCGCAACGAAGTCGATCACTTTCTACGTGGTCTCAACGAACTCATTCCAGACAACCTATTAGGCATATTCGATGAAAATGAATTAGAAGTACGAATCAATACTTCTGTGTGTGTATATAATATATATATAAATGTAATATAAATATATATATACATACACATATGTATTTTTAATTCACATTTTACCAATTTGTATATTTCCTAATGATATTTATTCATACAGTTACTGTTATGTGGAACCGGTGAATATAACGTAGCAGACCTACGGACACATCACATAGCTAATGGAAGTTCTCCAGAATTTCTACGTGTCCTTGATTGGTTTTGGACGGCAGTAAGTAATTTTACGCGAGAAGAAATGGCACGATTACTTCAGTTTACTACTGGTTGTTCTCAATTACCACCTGGCGGATTTCAACAACTAAGTCCACGCTTTCAAATAACAGCGGCTCCTACATTCGCGAATTTACCTACAGCTCATACGTGGTACGTGCTCTCTAAAATAACAAATATTTTAATTACAAGTAACTTGATTCATCTAATTAAAATTTATTTATTTTTTTATAATTATTTCTTTTATTTTTTTTTTATTTTTTTTTATTTTTTTTTTTTTATTTTTTTTTTATTTTTATTTTTTTTAGTTTCAATCAACTCTGCTTACCCGATTACGAGTGCTACGATCATTTCGAACGAGCGTTGTTATTAGCGATCAGTGAAGGTACCGAAGGTTTTGGTATGATCTAACAAGAAAAAAAGCTATATACTGATAAAAACATACATACACACATTATACATAAATATACAAGCTAACCTCTAGTCTATTCTAGTCGATATAATTTGTCCATTATATTGAAATAATGTATATTGTGTCCCATTTTTTATTATTTGATATCAAGTATTAATTTTCATTCCAATGTTTACTTTCGATAATGTCTTTTCTTAACAAAGCTTTTATACTCTTAAAAAACATATGAACTGCATTTTGTTAAACTTAAGTCGTTTGAAATATCTTTAACAAATGTTCAGCTAAATTATGTTCTGCTAATGACCATCAAAATTTAAGCGTAAGAACATGCCGCATTTAATGGCTTGTGGTAACGTTTTTATATAAAAACCGTTATATACTAACAATATAAGAGCAATTTTTAATCTCATTATCAATGAAAATTTGCTCGATTTCTCAAAGCAAAATTTAGTATAAGTAAGGTATTCTAAGTGTTGTTGAATACATGAACATGTTTCGTTACTCGAGCCATAAGATTCAGCATAATTCAACTTGCAAAATAATGGCAAGACCGAGGTATTTAAAATATTGTTTTGTAGATACTATCGTAGATTTTAAAAAGGTAGCGCGTTAATCGTTATTGATTCATACAAAAGAAAAAAGAAACTATAGAAAAAGATATAGATTTGAATCCTTTCGTTTTTTTTTTTTTTTTTTTTTTTTTTTTTTTTTTTTTTTTTTTCTTTTTTTTTTTTTTTTTTTTTTTTTTTTTTTTTTTTTTTTTTTTTTTTTTCTTTATACTGTATAGTAAATATACATATATATATATATCGTCAAATTGTTCATTAGAAATTACGAAGTAACTATAATAATTTATATAATCGTTTCATATTTCATCGTTATATTTCTTCTATATTATTATATTTTATATACTCAATTACGGAACGAAAGCAATCACAGTATAATCAAAGCCAAAGGCAAAAGACAATGTATTGTACATTTAGAATATACTCTACGACATTCGTTAATTAGTGCGTACATACGTGAATCTCGCAATAAAAAGAAAATTTCTTAATATCGACGGTATATATTTGTTACTTTCTATGGAGACTCGTAGATCGGGTTTTATAAGAAGTTTTACTTATGAAAAAAATATCACGACCACGATCGTTGTGGCATTGCAAATAGACTAACGTGAATTATGTTATTCCAACCACTTTAAAAATAAATTCATTTCTCAAGACTATACCGTTCGGGATTGTATAATACATACTATACTCAGGAAAAAAAAAAAAAAAAAAGAAACCCCATTTTGTGATAATTATAAATCTTCCACTGTTCTACACGTCATGCGAAAAGACAAAAATAGAGAATCTTACTTGCAACGAGATTAGCATAAAAAATAAAATAATGAAACAAAACAAAAAAAAGAAAAGGAAAGAGAAACACGGACAAAAGAAAACAATTAGGGAATTTCACGAATCTGACTTAGAACTGTTGTGGATGATGCTTAAGATCCGTCTTGTACTTAAAAACACAGTAATGCAAAATGTGATCGTGCGTTTCCAAAAGCAATGACACTTGCACGTGGTTGCTTAACATTAAAATTAACTCTAATAACATCAGTCTTCTCTATATAAAAAAAAAATACTATAGTATAAGCCGCAAGCATATTCCAAGTTATGCTTCCTTTTAATTGCTTTGCAACTATATTGTCGAAAACACCAGGATTCTCTGATATGAGACATGAGAACTATGAACAAAAAAAAATAAAAAGGAATCAAGAAATCGTAATAGCACGAGAGAATCATATTTATTAAATAAAAACTGGAAATAGATACACATAGTTCCGTCTTCTGATAAAAACAGATCATGCATCGTTATCTTAGCGGTCGGGTTGACGATACTTTGTTTTCATCAGTTTATCAAAATACGCGAAAAAAAAGTGTAAAACTTATAGATTAAAAAGTATATAACAAGCATTTATTCGTATACATTCTAAACAAACTTATCCTACCCGTTATATATTCCACATGATTCTATACATAATATTCATCATGTAATAATAATATCCTTTTAATTATAAAATCATTCGATCTCCAATGGTGAGTAAATTTTCTTCCCAAAAAAAAAAAAGAAAAACAAAAAAGAATATTAAAAATAAAGACAATCTAATAATATTCCTTCCGACGTGTTACTTGTAAATTTTGTTCAGTACTGCTCGTTATTTTTGTCCTCCCCATATATAATGTGCAATAACTTTTCCATAAGAGTTCATCTCGTGATCGACGAAAGGTAAAAACTCTCTTCGCAAACTTTTCTTTGACTTCAAACATTCTCAACATCGATATCAAACTCGTCATTGACGTTTAACATATTTCCCAATCATACTTGAACTATAAATTTCAATTATTGATAAAAAAAAAACTAATTGCATGGTATTAAATTTTATTTAAATAATAAGAATAGAAAGAGATAGAATGAAAAAGAGAAAATATTAATCTATTGAGAAATATTCAATTCAATAATGGATAATAACATACCTGATAAAAACTAAGATGGTACAGTAGTGCTAGATAAAAAAGATAGAGTACGCAATATAGCCCGTGGCGCACGAACAACGCTTCCAGCAATTTGTAAAACTCGACTGCTCCATCCTCCTTCTTGAGATTGTCTGATCAAACGTTCCTTCAATTCATTTAGTTCCATTCTTATGTAAAAAAAATATAAACAATGTTATATTTTCTTATATAAAATACAGATTATGTACATAAGAAATGAGATATATCTTACAGTTGACCGTTATATATTGATTCGATACGATGCAAGGCAGCTTCTTTATCGGCCAGTTGATTTTCAAGAACGTTTGAACGTAAGCTTAAAGCTTTCCCCGTTTCTATACTCGATCGTAACTGTTTCTCCAATTTCATTCGTTCATCTTCCCTGACCTTCAATTGTCTAAATAAAAAAGAAAAAAAGAAATATCATTGTTCATTAAAAAATGTCGATGATAATATTGTCAACATAATAATTTTTTGTTAAAGTAACATTTTCAATACTCGCTTATATTTCAAATATTTTATTACAAATATTTTACGTCAATGGTAAACAACGATGTTTAATTATTAAAAAAAAAGAAAATGAAATATGATAATATTTTATATGGTAGAATTTTTTCGAGCTTAATCTATCAACAACCTACTTGGCATATCGTTGATTCTGTTCCTGTGCAGAATCGACGAGTGCGACATGTGCAGCCAATCGAATTTGCAAATCCTCGATGGCAGATTCAGCCCTATCTGCTCTACTACCACGTTCTGTAGCTAAAGCTTCGCTTGCGGATATCTAAAATTACGCAGAGGAAGAAAGAGAGAGAGAAAGAGAGAATGAGAGAAAAGTATAATGAACTTTTTCTTCGTTAAAAACTAAAGGATAAAAAGAAAAAAAGAAAAAGAAATTTTTCCTTTTAATTTATTCGTACGAAGTAAGTACTCGGGATGCTATTCAAGTTTAAATCTGATCATTTGAAAATTTCTGATCATCGCGATAATAATTTCTAATTGTTACATAACAAAATCGAATTCTTACAACTTGGATAAGCATGTTGAGATACAACGAAATTTTACCAACAATAAGCTACAGCGTAAAAGAGTTAATAGGGCAAGCATTATCGATCCTTTTTCCTAGTACCCAAGGAGTATTACGCGGTATTGAGTCAGCAACGAAACACAAAGAGTATGACTCAGAGGTTCTCTACGACCTCGCCGTACGTTGACCTAACTAACCAAAATTTTATTTCATTTTAATCAAAAACTGATTCCTGATAATGATCAGTTAATTTTTAATGGATCATCGTTGACAATAATTTCGTTGCAAGCGATAAAATTTTACAGAAGAAAAAAAAATAAACGTTTGCCATAATCTATACTTTTATTAAAAATATGGCATGCCCTTTAGAAAAATACAGCGTTTCATTGGAAATTGAGAGGGTGAACAGAGTGAATCATTGTTTCTTAGAAACCAATAAGAATTCGCATCGTATCAAGAGAGAAAATCCACCCTCACTCTAGATCAACCTTCATTGAGCAGATGTATGACTCATTCGATAGCTTTGTATTGGCAACAACCTACTGCTAAGAAGTCAAAGGCCCTATTCCTCAACGAGTATTATCTACTCTTCGTTTACATCCAAGTGAGGGAGAAAGATTTGCATGATGAAGCTCTTCATTAAACTGGTACTCCACTGGAGTTTGTCTCATCGACCGTAGATAAACCATTACCGATAAAAATTATAATAAAAATATTTAATTAAAAGATTAAATTCTAATGAACCTTATCCAAAAGAATCCTTTTATCTTCTCGCAATTTTAACAATTTCTCACGATCTCTTGCGATTTGTCCGTCTAAATCTTGAAGCTGATTTTGGGCATTGAGTAATTCGTTTCTAAGATTCTCCGTTGTTACCAATCGTTCCTCAGAAATATCCTCTAGACATTTGACTTCTTCTTCCAATTTATCTTTTTCCTAGAACCAGATATTACTTCGTGTTAAATAGTTATAAATATAATTGCGTTAAATTCTAAAAATCTTTCATCATTTTAATTAATATGATAGACCATTTCTTGATTGTGTACATTTATAAAAATATATAGAAATAAATAATATGATTGTTTACGTATAAAAAAAAATAAAATATAGTGTATTCGACAGATAAAATCTTGTGACCACTGGTGAACTATACAGCAACCACCGTACGATATACGTAGCTCTTTCGTTTCATAATTAGCTGCTGGCGAAGTGCCAAATACTCGCTTGTGTAAGCACCCTACGCTCCGAATTCGTTGGCCACACGTATCTGCTCCTACGAACGTGAACGTGGATGTAAGCATACAAAGCATAAGAGCAAAAGAGAGAAAACCAGTGACACGAATATATTTATTTACGACTATCGACAAGAGAAACGAACTACATTTCTAATGTCACGTTTGATTTTGCTATCACAATATAAAAATTGATATATATATATATATATATATATATATATATACATGCGCGCATGTATATATTAAAAATGTTAGAAAAACGTTAGATTTAAAAAGCTTTTAAAACTTGTTGAATGAAATGAAAATATATTTTGTCATCGAAAGAATATGATCAAAGAAAGATCAAAAAAGAAAATCATGAACTTTTGAGATCTACTCTTCGATGCACAGTTGAAATTTGCTACGCGAGTTCTCTTGGTAGCGTCATCCCCCTACTTAGAAACACGTCATTGAACTCTCGTATTCGTCGAGCTCCGAGGGTGTCACGCTTTTACACATACGTCACACCTGCTAACTACATATTCTCCAACGTATACAAATGAAACCTGCACAACTATAAACTTCTTGAAACAAGTATGAAGAACTTTAATGATATTTTGATATTAATAAAAAATATTATCACGATTTGAAGATGGTTTGCTTGTTCGTTACTTTACACCTATTTGCAAAGTAAATTCAACATTTTAAAAAGGACAAAATCCTAATATTCAACGAGTACATTAACCTCCACTCTATAATTAATATAACAGATACATTAATCCATCCTATAATAACTAAACTAACCCTATAATTAAACTTCTACATAAAACTACCATGTAAGTTTGAAGTAACAGTTGCGTATCTATTGTTTTTACATTTTCTTTCATTGAGTTTATCGTTATAACTTTCATTGTCGTCTCTTCGTATATTCAGTTTCTTATTTTTTTTTTATTTTTTTAATAGAATTTATACTCAGTATAGTACAGTTATATTAGTACAAATAATATTATAACATTCACATTAAATAATTTTGTTGTAAACGCGACAAAATGTAAGGTATAAAAAGTTAAACAAATTATTTCTTTTACCTTCTTGAGAACATCACGTTCCTGAAAATGTTCCTCAAGCTGAGTTTTCATACGCTGTGCCTCCCAATTCAATTTATTAACACGGCCATTTTCCGTCTCAAGCAAACGACGGAGAACAACGATCTGTAAGCGTAAATGCTCGATTTGCCGTGCTAGTTCTTCGATAGTTTTCTGTAAGTGGCCGACGTCTGCTCGTCTGCGTCTCCAAGCGTTCAGTATCAATACATGACAAAGAATACTCGCGGCTTTTTCTGGATTCTGTGAAAGACTGTTACCACCCTCTTCTATGTTAGCAGACAAGAAATTCTTTGTCCACGTTCGATGTCCGATTCCTAGGACACTTTTATTAATTCCTACGATGTCCTTGCTACGTTCTCCTAAATCTTCTCGATGTCCTAGCGACGAATTACTCTCTGATCTATAAAAAAAAATTAATAATATTTAATATATATGTATGTGTATAAAAGATAAATTTACGAACATGGCGTAGATAGCATTGGTGTTCAAACATGGCGGTAACAGCATCAAATGTAATGGAATTTTATAAATTGTTATTTAAAATATCTGATTTATTTACCTGAAATTAGCTATATCTGGATCAATAGCTGCGAGTGAAAGATCGGTCATGGATAAGCTCTTTCTACAATGTGACGAACTGATAGCACGCAAAATTGGTGAAGAACAGGCCGAATTTGAGTGATTATTATCTGGGCAACTTTTAATTGTAGCAATGGAGACGTTACTATGATTTATTGCACTTAATCCGATTAATTTAAACGGATTACGGACAGATCGATGATATGGGCTCGTTCGTTGACATTTTATAGGCAATTGTGAATACTGAAGCTTATGCCTTACACATTGTTTAAAATTTACTGTTATCGAGGAACCAGAAGGATTATCCTCCTTGCTGGTCCCCGCCAGAGCGTAAAGAATAGGCGAATTACTCGCTGAGAGGTACGTTATTTCTGGCATTGCTTCTTTTTTCTGGAATTATATTGCGGATAAAATTCTCTTCGCATAGGCGATCGAGATTGTTTCTTTTGTTATTCTTTGTCATGGTTACGGAATCTGCTTAACTTTCCTTTTAAGATTTCGAGCGAAAAAAAAAAGAAGAACGAGAAACGTTATTTCAATCTTCAATATCAAAATCGAACCTTTCAAACTTCCCACCGATTATCCAATAACAAAAATAAACGCATCACAATAGTACCTTTTAATATATCAAAAATAATGAATAATATATTCGATAATGATAATATTAAAAATAATTAATTAATATTAATAACAATATATATTCAAATAAGTTTGCTATATCCTAATCTTCATAATTGTTTAATTACTTCAATTCGTCGATCTTTTTTCTTCTGTTTTCTCCCTTAATATACCGGAATATACCGGAATATACTTGAACAAACGTATATACAGTATGTGGTAAAGAAATGAGTGATTATAAAAATTGATTTTCTCGGTAACTAGGATAGAGATATTCTGACTATCTATTTTGTATTACCAACATTATAGCATTTAGTAACCATAAATCATTAGTGGGCCAATGCTTTAATAATTACCATATTGCTGTAAAAATTCCAATATGTTATTGAGTAAAATACATTATTTAAGAAGATATAAATATATTGTTTTAAAGTAAAAAAAAAAAAAGAAAGAAAAAAAGCATTTCATTGTTTGAAGATGACAACGATTGACGTTGAACTTCCGGCAAAAATATGATTTGTTACGACATAATCCTTACTTTTGTAATACATCTTAATTGATGAACGCATATTTGCGTACCGGTCCGGTCCACTGGTTCATGATTACTAATGATATTCATAATGCTAATAGTAGAGCGTAAACAGTTGAATTTCTTTTAATTCAGCGATGCTTAAAAAATCAATTTATATAATAGCTCGTTTCTCTGTTGTATTCTGTGCTTAAATATACCTAAATGTATCTGAATATACTTGAATATACCAGAGAACATAACTATATTCTATATATCATATACGGAAAGTGTATAGAAAGTATGATTCATCATTGTACACGCGAGAACTCAGGTACTTAGGTACGAAGTTTCTCTATTAAATTCTAAGCATTACGTGACAATAGTCAATGCAATCATTCGATGAGTTATGAATCCTGTTCCTAGACTATTTAGCATTGTATAATTTTTATTTTCCTAACTCTTTTTTCTTTTAATAAATAACGCACGTAGATCACACAAGCCTAATTTCAAAGTAGACGTTACGAATAACAAAAAAGAGAGAGAGAGAAAGAGAGAGAGAGAGAGAGAGAGAGAGAAATGAAGTAATATAAATATGTTAAGCCAAGTAAAGAGCGATCATAATCACGATCAATCCACAAAACGAAGGTTATGCACGTACATCGAAACTTCGCATTTGACTTCGTGGCCTTGATAAAGAATCAAGGCTAAAGCAATTTCCAAATAAGAGAGATAATAGAACAGACAGAAAGAGCCCACGACACCAAAGATTAAAAAAATATTAACGAATTTAAGACACGTTGATATGTTATATAATTATTCACAGATATATCTAATAACCGGTATATTCACAGCTAAAACACGATGCATACGTGTGAATGACTACGGTAAATTAATTTTCTAACGTTTATTAGTTCCAAAGTTTCAAGTGTGAAAACTTTTCGAGCTCGTAACAAAGATCGAAGATATATTCTTTTAAGAATAGATGTAAAAGAAATTAATCAAAAATTAGTTTATCAATCGTATGTTCTGATATTTAAGAACGTATATATCTGAAAAACGAGGTTATATACGAGTCGTAACATATGCAGATTAATACAATTCGTAGAAAGTCTTTAACGCGATTCTTTTCTAAGAATTCGGACGGTTATATGAGCGAGCCAGAACAAGTGGTTCTCGATCAATCGTAGATTTCGATTATAGGAAGAAAAGGAGGAAAAATTGAAATTAAATAGTAAATGCAATCGGATAAAATCGACGATTGATCGTACGTGTTCGTAAAGATTCGCCGAATATCTCCGATCACGCTCGAAGGGAATCGGCGCGGAAAGGCGCGACGATGACGCGTTCTCCTCTTCTCACAACCCTTCTCCTCTTTCTCCTCCTCATCAAACTTGAGCGATCCCCTCTTCTACGGTACAATAAGAGTTCTTCCTCCTCGTCATTGTAGTTGAAAACCAGCACAAGCAGTCGTACCACAAACCGTACAATGCTACAAACGTGTTTCATTAAATCCTGTTTCTATAAAAGATTTCTTAATTTATTTGTGCGGTCGACCATTTTGATTGATAATTAAAAATAATTAATACGATAAGCGATTGTATAAAGACCAATAATTGGAATTAAAAAAAAGAGGTGGGAGACAAATCACGACCTCAATTACGACAGTGTCTTAATTTGTATTGCACGTTTTCATAGTGTTTAAGTGCGTCAGAACTTAAGAAAGAGTTCTTCATTCTTCGGAAAATCCTTACGGAAGAGGAGAGAAAGACGAGAGAGAGAGAGACACAGATAAAGGGAGAAAGAAAGAAAGACAAACAGAGACAGAGAAAAAGATATAACATTAATCCGAAAAGAGAGAAAAATTTTACGAACGAAACCGTACTTGCTCGATCTCTCTCTCTCTCTCTTTCTTTCTCTCTGTCTCTCACTTTCTCTCACACTTTCTCTCTCTCTCTCTTTCGCGCGCGTGCGAGAGAGAAAGAAAGAGGGTCTGTCGAAAGTGCCGTTTACCATGTAGAAGATTGTACTGCAGGCAAGTCTCCTCATATTGTCCTACGATAGTTTAATTATAGCCACACTGCCCGTACGGTCCTAGGCCTTCCCAAAATAATGATTGGATCAGCGTAGAGACCGAACCTCCTCCTTACTTCTTCGTCCACTCTCTCTCTTTCTCTCTCTCTCTTTCTCTCTCTCTCTCTCTCTCTCTTTCTCTCTTTCTCTCTTTCTCTTCCTACTCCTCAGTTCATTCGCTTTCCTATGGGACACTTGTACGCCGCGTTTCATCCTACGTACGTAGCGACAGTGTAATATTCCCAAGAAAAACAGCTGTCGATGATTTCTCTCACAGGGAACAGCTGGAAATTCAGTCTCGCGCGCCATTTCTTCTTCGTGTTAATACGTCCCACGGTCGTTTTCATTCGTTTCTCTTCGGGTACAACCACCAACTCAGATCCAACCAATTGATCTATTGTTTCTTCGATCCTTTTACTTGTTATTAATTAAATACGAAATCTTAGAATTCGCGGGGATATGTTTATCAGTGTTATAGTTTTATCTTCTAACTAAAAGTTGTTAAGTTTATGTCAAAACAAAACACGAAGTGTTAACGTTGTTTTTAATGATAATTTTTATGTGATTAAAAAAAAAGTGTTGTTCCTTGCATACTTCTTTATCGCCGTAAAAATTCTGGTTTGTACTATCGTATTTTCTGTTATATTATTTTTAATCGATACGACGAAAGATCACTGAACCGAGAATTAACGAATTTCTTTTCATTATTCATGATTCTCTTTTATTTATTATTACATGAGAAACTTAAGTTTTGTTTATAGATTTATTATTAACTGCATGAAATATGATTTTAAATAATAAAGTTTGTTTATCTTTCGTTTGTTCCTTATACGTTAGATGGCTGTAATTCAAAATACTAGAACGAAAGTTTAAGAGGTATTATGGAACAATTCCATGATATAAGCGATGAAAACTTAAACATAAGTGATGTCAGTGAGTATTCATTGTCTTGTATCGTTTTAGCTGTGGATTATGTAATATACTTCAATTCATTTTCCTTTGAAGTCGAAGTCATCCAAACCACCGACCCTGGTTTTGTGGAATCTAACGGGCAGGTGGATCAAGAAATGGTCGAAATGGGTGGAGCGCGGTTGGCTCAGCCCTATGTGGAAATAGTAGAACAACCTGCAAGCAAAGCTTTGCGTTTTCGTTATGAATGCGAAGGTAGATCTGCAGGTAGTATACCTGGAGCAAACAGTTCACCAGAAAACAAAACTTTTCCTACTATAAGAGTAAGTATAAATAACAAGAACAAATATTCTACTGTTTTATTCAATTCATATAGTACATTGTTTAAGGTAAAACATAAAAATATTTCCTGCAGATAGTAGGCTATAAAGGTCGAGCTGTGGTAGTAGTATCTTGTGTAACAAAAGATCTACCATACAGACCTCACCCTCATAACCTTGTTGGAAAAGAAATATGTAAACGAGGAGTCTGTACACTTGAAATTTCATCTGAAAATATGACAGTTACCTTTGCTAATTTAGGTATTCAGTGTGTCAAAAAAAAAGACATAGAGGAGGCACTTAAAATTAGGGAAGAAATTCGTGTCGATCCTTTTAGAAGTAAGTGTTTTAAGAAACAATGTTTACATCTTAATTACTTTAAATACTATCATTATTATTTATGTTATTACTTTCATTATTATAGCTGGTTTCGAACACAAAAAACAGCCTACCAGCATTGATCTTAATGCAGTAAGACTGTGTTTCCAAGTTTTTTTAGAAGGATCGCAAAAAGGAAAATTCACTCATCCATTAACACCTGTAGTATCAGACCCTATTTTTGATAAAAGTAATTTTTATCTTTTTTAATAACTTTCGTTACAAACACAATTTTTTTGTCTTACATGTATGTCATTATAGAGGCAATGTCTGATCTTGTGATCAACAAGTTAAGTCATTGTAATGCTCCTGTTGCTGGTGGTATGGGGATGATTCTTTTATGTGAAAAAGTGGCAAAAGAAGATATTCAAATCAGATTTTTTGAAGAAAAAGATGGACACGTTACATGGGAAGGATTTGGAGATTTTCAACCATCTCAAGTACATAAGCAGGTACAAAATATTGCTTTCCTAATTATAATTTATATTTTTTTCTATTACTAAATAATTTATTATAATTAGACAGCAATCGCTTTTCGGACGCCTAGTTACTGTACACAAGAAATAGAACAACCAGTACAAGTTTATATCCAATTGAAGAGGCCATCAGACGGTGTGACAAGTGATCCATTACCATTTGAGATGTTACCATTAGGTACAGGTATGCCTGCTTTCTGGTCTTTGCGGAAAGCATTTGCTCGAAAAAAAGCAGATTATAGTACATTTGGTAAAATTTTAACAACGGAGGCTACTATGTTTCCCAATGTAGTACCAAAGGTGCCTTATAATATCGATGAATATAATAATAATGATTTTGACATAAAAAAATCAAATAATAAAATTTCTGTACTGCGTGCTCTAAATGACTTATATAATATTAAAAATACTACAAATTCTTGCAATGGAAATACTAATATTGATCAAAACAATGTAAAGAATGTTGAGAGTTTTATCAAAAATACTATTGATTATGAAAATAACGAAATATCAGTAGAGTGTAATAACATGATGAAAGGAAATATAAAAGTCAATAAATATATTACTGGTAATGATACCAGTAGAGAAAATAATACATTATCAAACGATTATAGAGAAACAGTTGATAACCAATCAGAAATTATTTCTCAAGCAAAGTTAGAATTAACAAACGATATAAAATATTTAAATAAAAACATGAGTAACTCTAAACATAAGTCTGATTGGTTTGATTATTCCGAAGTAGGAAAGTGGGTACAAAAGAGTCAAGCTTCTTTTAAAGAAAAAGAAAATACAGCTGAGATTAAAAGCGAAATGGAAGATGGTAATAAATCATTAAATGATTTGATATCGCAAGTGGAAGAGTTAGATCAAATTTACGCAGATACACATACAAAACTGTTACAAGCTGCTCTTGATCAAAATTTAGTTGAAAGATCTATAGACGTTGATGTTTGTGATAATCAAACCTATACGAGTCTTCAAATGGCTATGAAAAATCCAATAGAATTACTTGATATACCTGATGAAAGAAAATACGAAGATGTATCAACTCCAAAACAGGATGTGTGTGTGTCAGTGTCTTCTTCACCAATAGCAGCAAAAAGAGACGTAACACAAGAATTTGAAGAAAGATTACCTCCCCTACCACCTAAACGTATACGTAAAATGTCTTCAATGCCTGTTTTACCACGGCCTATATCCTCTCAACCAATAATCGAATCTTCCCCTGAAGCTCCAAATAAGAATTTACCATCTCTTCCTGGTACCTTACCCAAACAATCAAAACAAAGTCTCTTTTCGAAGCTATTTGCGAAGAAAATGAAAAAGGATAAAGATATCACTTCCAGTATACCCACAGGCAATAATAATCGTTTGTTTAATGCAAGCGAGAATACTTCATTTTTGTTAAAAAGTACTCAAGATAATTCTGCAACACAAATGTCTAGACATAGTATTGCAAGTATAACTAGTGTTAAATCTCTTACACTAGAAGGTGATGAAACACCACCTTATGGGGCTGACTTGACTGAAGCCGAGCACTATGCTCTTTATACTACTATGGCACCACATGCAACAGCGTCTGAATTCGATGAAATGTCTTTTTATTATAGTCCTGTGGAGGGAGGAAAAATATTAACAGAAGGAAAAGGATCTTAATGTTCAATAGAAAAATATTGTCTATTTTGTTTCTTTTCCTTTTTTATTCTTCTTTTTTTTCAAAGTATACTGCCATTGAAAGTGTTATATACCTTCCTCCTTATGCTATTATCGCATTAAAAATATTCAAAACGTAGCAAAAATTGTATTGTATTATTGCGATAGTATCGCATTTTGTAGCATGAAATACTTTTACGAAACATTTCTACTTTCAATGACATATTTTCATGCTATAATATAACTTTATAATCAAGCAGAAATTTTTGGAAACAATTAGATTGAAAACTGTTTTTGAACCTGCATATTACTAATTTTATGTGGGCATTTGTTTATGCGGTTTAAATATTTGCATATTGCTATTTTTATAAATAAAAAAGTCGTTTTACTTATAACGACGATTTCAGACGTTGTTTGGTAATGGCATAAATCGTAAATGCCATCAATGAAACTTGTTGTTTGTTATGAAAGAAAGTAAAAACCATGTCTAGTCAAGTTTTATAGTCCTGTTGAAAATATTAAATTTGTCAGATTATTATTATCTTAATATTTATAACTTGTTATGTTTAGTACACTATTGGAATTTTTTTCTTGCTTATGTAATTTAATGTCATAATTATTTTATTGCCTATTTGAGATTTTATAAACTTTATTATATAATATGAGTATTTATAGATTTTATAGGATATTTCGTTTGTTAGTAGAAAAAATTTTAATGAACAATTTATAGGACAACAAAACATATGGGGCCTTTGTAAAAAAAGCTAAATTTTCTTATTAAAATAATCGATCATTAATATACAAAACTTTCTAGATGATCGTGATTCGTTCAGGCGAAAGAGACAAAAATTTAATAACAGCCCAAAAGCGATAGTCTTGAAACATATACAAGCAGAAGCTGAAAATAGTGAGTATTTTTCTAAAATCTATTACAATTTTAGAGCTTGTCTGGGGATGGATTGAATAACATCATTGATTTCATTCACTATCATTTAAACATGTCCAAATATCTATAGAACAACACAATGTTATATGTTTATGTAAAACTTTGTCTTCTTTCCTTTTACTATAATGTATTATTTACTACTTAATTTTTCACGTAAAAAAATATTGAATGTTTCTATGTACGTGTGCACACACAAATGTATGTATAGAAAAACAAATTCTATGATCAAAGAGCCAAAGAAGCCTATTTTTTATGCTATTTGCTCGATCTATTTTATACATCTGTTAATTGTTAAAAGAAACAGAAAAATTAACAAAAATTGTGAACCACTGCAGTTTTCGCAAGCAGACTTATGTTTTTAGATATTAAACAATTCAGTGGTTGTATATCTTATTATATACTAACAATTCTGTTCCCTTTTCACTTTGAAAGAATATCATTATAGTTGCATTTAATTCCAATACAAAGGGTGATAAATCTACTTAAATAAAATCACTATACAATTGCTTGCTAACGATTTTCATAGTGAAAAGGAATTAAAGATTAAATACATACATATGTTTATGTATTAATAATCTTTCATTTTATACTTTTTTAAAAATGTATTTTATATAAGCCTTTGTACTTGTACTTTGCAATGTAAGAAGCAGTGACTTTGTGCACTTTGAAAAAAGTGTATTGTATTTTTGTATTTGCAAACAAACACATAAAATTATATAGAATGCTTAGATCATTGCATTTCTATGATAATATAAAAAATATAGTTATATTTGTGACATTGATCTTTAACATGATTTGTGACAATAAATACTTATTTCTGAAGAAATGCTTTGCTCTTACAAAATGATGCTTAAAAATTTTATATGACTTCATTATAGTAATTTTACTATATAGTCTTAAAATCAAACAACGTGCAATATTTGTATGGTGCAATTTTTATAGAATGCTTCTCTAAAAAGCGATTAAGTAAAAGAATAATATGGATAATGTGTATAAAGTGCATAATATACCTATACAGATGTATGATCACTTATAGTTAGTGGCATAAATTAAATGTTGTATATATTTATTCCATGAACCTGTTGAACATATTTCAGATCAAATACACTTATGTATAGGAAATACAGGTACGAATATTTCGTTACTTCAGTGTTTTGAGTTATAACTAATTGTGTTTAATGTATATTTGTCGTCCTTCTTGTATGGATTAGTAAAATAGTGTGCAATGTAGAGATAGAAACATGTAACCAGATTTTTCATGGAAAGATTTTCATTATCTGATACTCATTTATTTCATCATTTATGCATACTTCATTAAATTTGTTTATTATTAAGAGTTATTTTGTGAATAAGCACATTAATCCACATTGCTTGTTACTTCTGATAATAAAATTACTCCGCTGTGTATTATGCTTTGTATAGTGCTTGATCTTTTACTTAATCTTTATTTGCACAAAATTGCCACATATTTTTTTGTGATAATGCATTGCCAGTTTGTTTTATATTTTATTATTTTATAATATATGATAGCATATTAATTAAATCATATTATAGATGCTGCAGCGACTTATCAACCTATGCAGTACTTCAATATTATAAAACCAGAACCAATGGAAGCAGTACCACCATTTGGAGGTATTGTTACAACTAAAGGATCTTTTTCGTTACATTCTATGGGCACATCATCTCAACCTCAATCCAATATGCAAACACTAAGGTTTACACTTTAATACAATATTTTTATTCTTCATAATATCAAATTGATGACACTGGATTTATTTTACAGACCTCAAATATCACCAGGTAGAACTCCATCACCTATGGAATATAATCCATATACTTCACCTGTAATGCAACCACACCTGTCACCTCAATATCAACCATCAACCTCTAATGTAACACAGCAACCCTTAGTTGGAATACATGTACCACAACAATGTTCGTTTTTACAAGAAAATAATTTGCAAGATGCAGAACAATTGATAGCACTAAACAAAATCACTTCAGAACAACAAAATACTGGTTTGCAACCTATATATAATAATGGTAAAATTACTTATATATGCATGCTGTTTATACTTTTTTATATAAACTAAAAATTTCATTTTATATATTGTATTCTATAGATAATCTAGAAAAGATAGATGTGACTACTGGTTTAAGCATCGATAGCCAGCAGTATTTTAATCTGAGTTTAAATTCAGCAGATTTAGCAGAATTCCCAGTTTTTGATAATACTTTGTCCACAAATTTATTAAGTGGACTATCTATATCAGAATATACAAAGGTATATATATATACGTATAAATAAATATTACTTTACAACATTCATCTAGTAAAAACTAAATGTTAAACAAAAATTATTTTCTATAATATAGGATGGAACAAGCGAAAATGCAAATTTGGAAGCAAACTGTGTTGAAGATAACAACACCATGACCGATAGTTACACTAACTTAACAAAAAATACAATTCAAGAATTATGTAGTTTAAATGATATATATAAACCTACTAGGAGCCATGACAATTAAACAGTTCCATATTTGTTGGAAATCTACTTGTAAAAATTTGATGATATTTCTGCATGGTATGAAGTTGTGTTATGTGTATATAAATATTATCTTTTTATAATTAAAATCATGGTATTATGCAATAATATTGTAGATATTTCAAGTCTTTCTTATTTACTGATTATTACACTGATTTTAATATACTAACATAATAATGTAAAGTTTATTGATTGTGAATTCAACTATGAAAAAAAAATAATTTTTAGAAATTTTTTAATTTTCAATATATGCTCGATATCATGCATAATATATATATGTGTGTGAGTGTGTGTGTGTGTGTGTGTGTGTGTAAAAATTATTTTAGTAATTAAAAAAAAATCTACAACTGTGATGAAATTACAATGGAAGTAAGAATTTGTACAGATACATATTTTTTTTAATCAATGTTCTTTATAACTGGAATAAAAATTGTTATGAATATATAGAAATTTGTATTACTAAAGAAAAGATAAATTTAAGAAAAGAAAATCATAGTTACATTAAAGATAAGTTACATACACATGTTATACAACGATTGATTGCAGAAAATAAATATTTTATTAAAAAAAAATAAAAGAAAAAAACACGAATAGACATGCTTAACATAATAGTACATGCAGAAATGTATGCGATGTTATCAATTACATTAAGCGTGAAAACAACTTGTAACAGTTCCAAGAAGTATAATCTATCAGTCAACATATGATTATCATTTGTCAATAACACAATTACAATCTTTTCATATATAGAAAACAAAAATTTGTTACATATAGAAAAATATTTTTATAAATATACGTATTATGATACGTAAACATATGCATACATTACACATTTTCAATTTGTTTTTTATTTTTGTATAATTTAAATAATTATATTAATAATGTGAAAAGGGTTTAGTTAAATTTTTTCGTCGAAATAAATTGCAATGTTCAATAATTTTATAAAAATCATTATAAAAAGAAATTTATACTCTGCTGTTGTTGCTATATTAACTTAGAATAAATTATATCTTTCATGTTATATATGATGTAATGTATCTCAATAATGTTTTATTATATTATCATGTATATGGAAAAAAAAATGGAGATTATATATATATATATAAATTTGGATTATATATACAATTATTTACCATTTTTGTATACTTGTACGTACGAATTATAAGTATCACATAATCTGAGAGACGTCTTATTTTTTAATAATTAACTATCAATAATTATTGCAGTGTATTGAATTATACCTCATTTCATTTACATTGTTCAGTCTCAAAAGCAAACTTATTAACACTATCATCATAATATAGTGCAGTTTACACAAGTAGACGAGGACAATGAACGTTCTTTAAAACGTTTTATATTTAAAAATGTATATAAAAAATTATACTTACATACTATATAATTTTAAAAATATTATACGCGATGAATATTATATTGTACGTGTGATATGGATTTCAAATAATGATATGGAAGTAAGAAGTAATGTCCAATAATGATCGATTTATAATTTTTTTTTATTTTTCATAAATATACCGATAGAAAAATAACATCATGTAAATATTTTTTAATCTAAATGGGAAGAGATATTCTCCTTCACACACTAGTGAAGAATAAAAAGGTACATCTGTAATGTTTTTCAAAATGTATTTACTTAAAAATACAATGAAAGTTTCAAATCTGATGGAATGGGCAGAAAATGTAGTCTGTGGTGTCGGTTACTGTTACGTCGAGAGAGAGAGAGAGAGAGAGAGAGAGAGAGAGAGAGAGAGAGAGAGAGAGAGAGAGAGAGAGAGAGAGAGAGAGAGAGAGAGAGAGAGAGAGAGAGAGAGAGAGAGGAGAGAGAGAGAGAGAGAGAGAGAGAGAGAGAGAGAGAGAGAGAGAGAGAGAGAGAGAGATAGAAAAGGGGGAAGAGAGATGAAAAGGGGGAAGAGAGATGCGATGGTATCCTGTACAAAAGTAGTTTGAACAAGACTTATGAACACACAAACCAAATTCTTAGCCTAAGACTTCGTTTACGTTTAAATCTTAAAGATGTGTATCGTTACCAGATTTTATCTCAAAATTCTGTGTTTGTTTTTTATTTTTATTTTCTTGCTTTTTTTTCTTTTTTTCTTTTTTTGTTTATCATCTTCATGCTTACCTAACAAACGTAGGGATGTAACGGTTATCTGGGCATGTTCAGCCTGATTGATTTTAAGACCCGTTAGCACCAGTAAAGTTTAATTTTCTGAATTGCGTTGTATACTCGAGCAGAGAACAAAATGTATCGTGTATATTCTCTGGCTTCATGTAGTACATAACGCAAGTCTTTTTTTTTTTCTTTTTTTTTTTCCTTTTTTTCTGATCGTGTTGCAAACGGGGCTTGACATTTCATTATATTAATAAAATTAAATAGACCTATACTTATAGTGTACGTATAGTATACTATGAATGCTAAAGTACTCAGTTTTCTCTTTTCTCAGGCATTCCATACTTTAAGATAGTTCTTTGTCAACAATTAGAGACAAGGTACTATCTTGAAGCAAGCACGTGTACATTACAGTAGCAGTTTTGTGTATAAAACCGTAGTTGTGTTTTGTTAACAGAGAGAAACTGCCAGAAATGGTATGGCCCGTATATTAATAATAAAGAATCAGCCAGGCGATCTTTTACATATCGTGTGCCCCTTTGAGTGCGTTCGTGCCTCATTCCACACCTTTTTTATTCTTCTTTTCCTGTCTTTTTCTTATTGATCTTTCGTAGGTCTAGGATACAAACGCACGCACGTACGCACGCATACACACACACATAATACACACGATCGCGCTTACAATCGTGCACAAGAATATAAGCACGAAAGACACGGTCCAGTCCATCTCCTTAGGTTTCATACAGCCAATTCTTTTTCTTTCACGGTCATATGAGACACGGCAGTCTATAAAACCGCGATCATTCTTATAATTTTTTCTTCATTATTATTATTATTATTATTATTATTATTATTATTATTATTATTATTATTATTATTATTATTATTATTATTTATTATTATTCCCTTATTTTTATTTTATTTTTTATTTTTTTTTTTTTATTCAGATATTAAAACCCATTGCTACTTCACGAGAACGAATTGATTTATCCGATCTAACTGTGTTTTTATTTAACTACCTCATTCGAAAATATTTGTACATTAAAACGTGGGACATCGTCTCGCATTCAAATTATCGTTATCTTTATTTAATTATTATGCAGCTATGGTACAATGGTATCGTAACCGCAATGTCTCTTCACCCTTCTTCTTCATTTTCTTCTTCTTCTTCTTCTTCTTCTTGTTTAACAGTCTCCCAAAAAAATAAGTGACAGCATAGACGTATCTTTGTTTGCAACTGATCCACTAACTCTTAATACTAAATGTATAAGAGCATCGTCGTCGCTTTTTGACTGTCGGTGTAACTAAGTGAATCATCTTTATCAAGTATAAAGAATGATCCCTGTATTAAAGCGGCGTTTGACAGATCTTTTTTTTTGCGGCTACATATTAATAATGTGTCACCGTTAAGATACCGATCGTAATGAATGAAAAGGAATCACTAGGAATACCCCATCACTTGTTCTCTGCGACAGTCAACGAGAATCACTGCTATGAGTAGCCCACGACAATGAAATCGAAGTAAACCACAGTACACAAAAATACAATTGAATACGTTCAAATGAGAGAGAGAGAGAGAGAGAGAGAGAGAGAGAGAGAGAGAGAGAGAGAGAGAGAGAGAGAGAGAGAGAAAGAGAGAGAGAGAGAGAGAGAGAGAGAGAGAGAGAGAGAGAGAGAGAGAGAGAGAGAGAAAGAGAGAGAACACTGGAATAGGGAGAGTTATCGGATCTTCTATGCTATCGAATACACGTCGTCTTAGCAATAATAAAATACCTTTTAAGATTTCATAGATTTGCCTACTACATGTTATATTCCCTCTATTTCAAAATTAACTGTGAGAAGAAATAATATAAATATAGAATTGATTTTTTCTTTTTTTTTCTTTTTCTTTCTTTTTTTTACGTGTTTCCATAAGAATAGAATAGAATAGATTACATCCAACAGAAATGGAACAACGATGGAGCGCAGTAGCAGTAGCATCAGCAGCAGAGCAGCCTTTGTGAGCTTCGGCGATCGGATATATAAATGCTCTCCCTACTCGCTATGCCCAAGTCTAAAGAGTAACAACCTCCCCGCATTACGTTACGTTACATTACGTTAGATAATATTATCGTTAATAATAAAATGTTTTCTTACTTCATAACTTTATACATACTATGTATAATTATTATGCAATGTTTAAGTCACACATTACTCATCCATACTACCTGGCGCGAACATTGCATTTACATAACCTTAATATGCCTGTCTCATTAAACAGGAGCACGAAGCGGTGGGGTTTTATATTTTTGTTTTTATTTTTTATTATTATTATTATAGTTTATTTACGAATTTGTCTAGTATATATGCGTCCGAATGTCGAGAGATGTCCGTACGATTTGTATCATTGTTCATTTTTCTTTGTTTTAATTTCTGTTTTTACCTTTAAGTTATGTTTCATTTAATTTCGTTCTGTTTCGTTTGTCTTTTATGTACGCGTTCTCATGCACCACTTAATTTTTTTCTCTGCGAGCCTCGCGCTCCTGCGAAGACACTGCTATTACACGTATCGGTTGAAAAGAAAAACTCAATCACACGCACTAGGTGAGAGACATTCGTCGAACTATAAACTTAAATTTGATTTCAAATGTAAAAAAAAATCAACGCCCACAAATGTCCATTTTACACTATTTAAATACAATAGTTTTTTTTTACTTTTCTTATATATTCTTAAATAAGTTTTCGATAAAAAAACTGTCCCTCGCAGAAAGCCAGATGACGGCAAATACCAGTTTAGTAGGTGGTTCATATTAAAGCGGTATATTCATCTCGAGGACAAGCAGTAGCCATTGAATATACCAGATTTTGTTGGTATATTAAGGGGCCTAAGAGAGACATACATACATCCATATATATATATATATACATATATATACATATATATACATATATATATACATATATATATACACAAACACTAATATATACGTATATATTATGTGTATGTATATCGGATTTATTATTCGGTTTTAATGCCGTCCTCAGGACAAATGTACAATTTTCGTGCGAACGACCTAACAGTATTTGGTTACGGCTAGAAGATACCAGAATTGCGAAGAGCCAAGACAGTAGAAAAACGCGACTGCATTAATATAATGCGTCAGCCCGACACAACTCCGGTGAGGTGGTAATTTTTATTTCGTAGCTCAGGAGGATGATCCAACGATATGGATTTGGGCACGATCGATATCAACATTGCTACCAACCACTCAATATGAGAGTAAGTGTTTGCTGAGAAGACTGCCGAAGATCGACGATGATGCCACGTGCCTTCCTCCCGTTTTACTTACATATTGTTCTCCCTCTTTTCATTATGCGTCCTCCTCTTCATCTTCCACCTCTTCACCTTCACCTTCCGCTTCATCCTCTTCCTCTTCTGTATAAAAATATTTTAATGTTAATTACCGATTCCTAATAATTTTCAGATCATATATAACATGCACACGCAAGTGAGCGCATATATAATATATATATGTATATATGTATGAATGCATATTAAATTAAATTGTTATTTTTATCTCTCACTAACCTTCTCCTTCTTCTAAATCTTCTTCGCCTTCCGGTATATCGTCCTCTTCATCATCTTCTTCACCATCTCCGTCTACTTCTTCTTCTTCTTCAACCTCCTCCTCAATTTCCTCCTCTTCTACTTCTCCATCTCCATTTTCCTCTTTTTTCTGCTTCTTTGCTTCATCGTTTTTCTCCTGCAATTAATTATATGAATAATCAAAATACATTATATATATATATATATATATATGAGAGAGAGAGAGAGAGAGAAAAGAATGGAAATTTACTCAGTTTTATTGGCTCTATATGCGTAAACTACATCAATGCAATCGATAACAAAATATGGCGGGAAAAAATACATGTTCAACAACCATGCCGATTTTATTAAAAATTTCCATTTGTAAGCAATAAAATAAAGTTATAAGAAATTTTATTAGAAAATATACTATCTTCATCATATTCATCGTATTATAAATGGAATTGTGTTAAGTATAAAGTATATAAAAATTCAAACTAATAAACAAAAAGATAAAGAAAAAAAAAACAATTAAAAAGAAACGAGTTTATCGTTATTAGTCACTAAATTAAAAAAAATACTTAGTGACTTCCGATTACATCTGACAAGTAAAGATAATATAAGTAGGACAAGAAAAAATATGTAAGATTTGCATTTTGCATAAATTTCGGATAATCTAAAGAAAATTTTATAACTTACATAAGTCGTTCTACTTACAATAAAAAAAAAAAAAAAAGAATTTTTTTTAAAAGTTATTAGAAATATAAAATTAATTTTTAATATACATTGCTTATCAAAAACACGAATCGAGAATGTCTCAATCGAAATTTCAAATTTATAGGAATATCTGGCATAAATGATGAATTAAAAATATGAGACCCATCAGGGTGTATGAAGGCACCTTGTTTGTTACGCTCTTGAACGTCCCTGAATTTACTAACAGCGTATCCGCGCACGCTCATGTATCGGTAATAGTCAGAAAGAGAGAACAGATGGAAGAGACGCGTAGACCAATGAAAAAGTTTGTAACGTCGAACATCGTGATAACGGAGAGCGACGATTGGCTGATGAAAACGAAGCGACGCACTCGCAGTTTATATGTTAAGAGAACCATCACCGCCGTGTTCGGATTGCGTGAAGAAGTTTCGCCGAAGTATAAGAGGGGAAAAAACCAACGAGAATATAGCGTGCCTATTGCCGACCGGCTATCTCATTCTAACAGCACCTTGTCTTTACTCAAATCAAAACGGAAAGTTGCGGTTTTAAATCACGCAGATAAATATTTTGCCGAAGAACATTCAACTCGAATCGATGACGAATCATTACAAGAGAAACATTTATTAATTCTATACGAGAAATGTTTATACAATTTATATATGATTTTAATTATATAAAAATATTCTTTATTCTCTAAAAAAAAAAAATTGAAAAAAGTAACGACAAGTAAAGAAATCAATCGAATGGTACAACGAATATTTTCATGGAAAAAAGAAAAAAAAAAGAAGAAAAAAGAGAAAAGAATTCCATTGTCTTTAATTGCTCGTAATGATACGGTCATGTTTCTTCGAAAGTGAGCAGATTATGTATACAGATTCGTAAAGAATGAGTATACATAGGTAGTCTCGTTAACTTTGAGCGAGTTTCCATAAAACGTCGCTAGCGGCAATGACGACGACGACGGACGCGACTAACGACGCGCGCGCGCAAAACAGTCGTGCTTTCGCGCAATGTGATACGCTCCCGTTATCCGAAGACGAACGCGCACGATTACCTATCGGTAGCGCTAAACAATCACGAGGTCTTGCCAGATAACCCAAGTCGTGCATAATCTATCGTACCGGGTCTACTCTTTGATCGTTTTTCTCCTACATTTCTTAAGAGAAACTAACGACGAATGAATAGCGTTACGTAATTAATTCGAGACGTACATGTTATTACGGCTGAACCGAAAAATGCAAGGAAAACTCGTTCAAATGTGGATTCGTCACGTAATCTTTTTTTTACTTTCAATTGCATCCATCTTCTAAAGGAACCGTTTATTAATTATGGTCAAGGTCGGAGAGGCAAGATGTTATTAATAAATATATAATATCAGAGAAAATATGAGAAACGAATGAACCAATAAATGTATGTATATATATACTCATATATATATATACATATATATATTGTATATAGTACATATATATATATGCTCTATTGTGAAAGATTAATGAGAGACAACTATAAGGTATTGTATAAATATAATAAGAATAACTCGAACGTTTCAAGAATATATATATTATTATACATTCGACAGAATATCCATTAAAGTAAACAATTCTTTAGCAAGCAAAACTAATCGTGATATCTAGTTACGATGAGCCACGTAATGGAATAATTTGTATTTGTGTCGCAGCAGCAAGCGTACGATCGAAATTTAAGGTGGGATTCTCAATGCTACGATGATAACCACATAAAACGGATAGTTTATTTTTAGGCTCGACTGACCATCGATTCACAAACGTTTCCTATCGTGAAAAAAGAATGAGAGAAAAAGAAAAAGAGAAAGAGAGAGAGAGAGAGAGAGAAAGAGAGAGAGACGTTCTTTCTTTTCCCGCCACAAAAATAATATAAGAATATTCACATTTTTTCGAGAAAGATCTTCAACTTCGCATTGCTCTCTTCCTCTCTCCCTCTCCTATATAGAACGACCTTTCGTATTTGGCGCGTCTTTAAAAGAGTCAATAAGGCGTAATATCGATCGTTGGCAATATTGTTATATTTTCAGATCGTGAATAATAATAATTATAATAATGAATCTATTTGTACATATGATAAAAAAAAAAAAAAAAAAAAAAACATTTACAAAGATAAAATTAACTTTCTTATCATTCTTATATCCAAAAGCAATATAAAAAAAAAAATTAAAAGAAAAAACAAATAAAAATAATGACTATTCAAATAAATATTAATAGATTGATACTTTGTACACACCAACCGATGAGACATAATCGAACAGGCAAAAGTTATTTCGAAAAGAATTAGAAGAATTGATAACGATCGTATTAACCCGATTATAGAATTACGAATGGTACCGAAGAAAGATACGCGATAAGTTCAACGAAGAAGAAAAATTCTTCCGTCTTTCTCTCTCTCTCTCTCTCTCTCTCTCTCTCTCTCTGTTTTTTTCCCCCAGAAAATCATACGAGACGCACGGAATCGACCTCGAAGCGAGTCGGCGCGGCGTTCGGCGGTGGTTCAGAAGCGTAGGCTCAAAGCATCGGCCCCGCGCGCGAGCGTGCCGCTTCCACGTGACGTACACGACGGCAGTGGCGGTGGCGGCAGCGGGCGCACCGACGCGACGCTAAGCGCTACCTTCGCCTCCCTCTCGTGCCAGAGTTCACAATCAAGTATGAACAATTTGGAGGAAGGCGCGACGAACGTATACAAGAAAAAGAGAAAGAAAGGGGGAAAAAAAGACAAGATGGAAAGAGGGTGTGGAGAGAGAGAGGGAGAGAGAGGGAGGGAAAGAGAGAGAGAAAGAGAGAAAAACTCTCCGAAGTATATTTTCGCGCCTGAATGAAATAAGGGGAGGATGTACGTTATTTTCCAAAGCTTCAGTAGACGAAAGACGAAAGTAGTGTATTGCGATCAATTAACCGTTCTAAAAATAACATTCAAGTCCGATAGAGATAAGGAAAGAGATTTTTAAGACAAAAAAAAAATTATCACACCGATGTTTTCTCGAAAGTTCATATAACGATGTCGCCGTCTTCTTCTTCAGCGTTATTCGTCGACGTCGTCTAGTTGCTGGCACGGTTACTTCGCGAAAGAGAGACAGGGAGACAAGAGAAACACACGGGGGTATTATAATGCACGGCTTTGCCGCTAGTCGCGCGCGCGTGGGGTTTTCATTGGCGAGGGAAAAAGGACGCGGCGAATGTTAGATATTACGAAGAGATGTGTACAAGCAAGCTAGAGCGCGACGCGTGTGCGTAGTCTATTCTCTCTATCTCTCTCATTCGTTCACTCTTTGCGTGACTTGAGAGTATCTGTGTGTATAGGTTTGAGAGAAAAGAAAGAATGAAAGAGACACGAATAGAGATACAGAGAAATCCCTTGGCGCGATATTTATACAATTAAAACTGTAAACAATTTCAAAGAAACGTGTCGGTCAAAGGGATATATAAGCGTTGCCCTATCGATCGGTCCTATTCGCCGGACACGATTAACCCGCTTACGGCGAATTATCGATCAATTACGACAGCGAGAGGGAGGGAGAAAGAACGTGAGAATGACGAGCAGTAGGCGGAGGGAGAATGATAGAAAGAGAGAACAGCCAAGCTACGTTAAGGTAGGAGGGGAGTGGCACGGAAGAAGAAAGAAGACAAACGGATAGAGAACGAAAGCGAGAAAGACAGAGAAACGAACGCGGGCTTGGTTTCGGGCGCCATAATGGGAGACTTCGAGAAGGTGGCGTCGTCGTCGTCGTCGTCGTCAGATGGGAAGAAAAAAAATGTGCACACTTTTATATTATATCTTAAGCGATGAGAATAATAGAGGAAATTGCGTAGTCAATAAAGGAAAAGTTACACATAGAAAGGAATGAGACATTCGAGATAAGAAAAAAAACCGCGTTCTATCTCGAAGCGTCGATGATGGGCAACGTAGATCCGTCAACGAATGTGGCTAGATAAAGAGGAAGGAAAGAAGGGGGAGGGGGGAAGCACATGGCACTATAAGCACCGTCGTCGAAACGTAGAATAACGTGTCTTAAAAATTATGATTAAAATAGTGGTACGATGAAAGAAAAAAAGAATAAAATATAAAAAAATATGTACTTTTATCGAGTATTACGAGAATGAAAGAAGGGACAGATAAATAAATAAATAAATAAATATATATATATATATATATAAAGAAAGAGAGAGAGAGAGAGAGAGAGAGAGAGAGAGAGAGAGAGAGAGAGAGAGAGAGAAAACAGAAGTAATCAGCTCGGTGGCGTACTCGTGGCGGCCACGCGACATTACAATGGCGTCCCTTATCTCGATTTATATTTTTAGCATTAATTTTCTAAAAGGGAAAACATGGAGGCAAGTTTTTCCATTAATTAAAAATGTCGACGATGATGAAAAGTTCAATCGCGTATTATGAAATCTTAATGAAAAAATGAACTTTATCATAGAAAGTAGATAGAGAGAAAAATGCCGGCCGGCATTGTGCATCTTCAGTTGCGCGCCACTACCGCCACCGTCGTAGCGGCTACCGCCACCACCGCTTATATCGTCGCCGCCGCCAGAGGCTACCGATATTGTCGACATAGTCATCGTCATCATTCACCATCATCGTGTCTGTCTTCTCGTCATTTCGTTTCGCGTACACATGCTTTTTAACTGGTGCGCGGGCGCGTGCGCTCGCGCACACAATCATAATATATACATACACGCGACATACGTATGTACATATATGTAATAATCAAAATATAAATATACATATATTAAGTACGTATGTGTATATATACATGCGTATGTGTGTGGGAGAAGGCGGGCGGCGCGTGCGCGTATGTGTGTGTGCGCGCATATAGAGAACGATAAACGAAGATACGGCGCGCGAGATCACGGAACGTAAGAAAGCTTGGCGGGCGACGAGAGAGAGAGAGAGAGAGAGAGAGGGGGGGGGGGGAGAGTGAGAGAGAGAGACAGAGAAGAGAGATAGAATAAGCAGAGTGAGAGGCTACGCTTCGCGTACGCGCACGTAAAGCTTGTGAACGTGGAGAGGGAGAGAAACGGACGCAGGAGCGGGAGAATAAGGCGGCACGCGCGCACGACCCTCGACTATATCCGCGATATGCATGCACGTAAGGATTCGTAGGCAAAAAGAAGATAGCAAGGAAGGTGTTTAGCTTGCCTGTTCCCTTGCTCATTTTCGTAGCTTCTTGTACGCGAAAGAGAATGGATGGGATGGATAGATAGGATTTAGATGCATGAATGCATGCAAGCATGCACGGATGGATGGATGGATACTGGATAGCTAGATGGATGGATGGTTGGATGGACGAACGAACGTACGGTCGGACGGTTGGACGGACGGACGTAAAAGCATCGTCGCGGTGACGCGCGAGAGGAATCTAAAGAACCATCACAGGTGTTCGTAGTCTCTTTTATAAGATTTCGCGAGATTGATGGTAGAGAGAAAAAAACGAGTGCTCTCATTTGGACAGATTAAACGAGAGAGAGAAAGAGAGAGAGAGAGAGCGAGAGAGAAAGAGAGAGTGAGAAAGAGAGGAGGAAAATAACGTAAGACACTTACTTCGGCCGGCCTCTTGATTCCCTTGATCTCACACTTAGCGTCCGCCGAAGCCTTGTCGTTTTCTGCCACCTTCTCTACAGCGACCTCGTTGTTTTCCTTGGTACTCATGATGATAGATCGTACTATATGTGATTCGTCTTCACTTCGAATCCCGAGATGCCTCTGCTTGCTTGCTTGCGTGTCCGCTTACGGAACGGCAAGAGAAAAAAAAAGATAGATGGTACGTAACGCGTTAAACGAAACGCTCAATCCTCGCGCGGCGTCGGTTTCCGGCGAAATGCCCGAGAGAGCAGCGTCGTCAGGCGAAGAACAGGGACGGGGGAAGGGAAGACCACGAACCTGGAGGGAGGGAAGAGCGAGTGAGAAAGAATGGAGAGGGGAACGGAGTTAGAGAGAGGGAAAAGAGAGAGAGAGAAAGAGATAAAGAGAAAGAGAGAAGAGTAATAGCGAGCGGTAAAAAGAGGGGGAAGAGGCGGGTGCGAGACAGAGCCGAACCAGTCAGAAGTTAGAGAGAACCGTGTTCCGAGGACCGTGGTGGCGCGAATAGCGCGAAGCGGACTACTACCCGGTCTCTGCTCGCTCTAGTACATCCAACCTGGCTTTGTTCAAAAATGAAGATGGCGCGGCTTTGAAACTCGATAAATCCCTGATTGGTCGAAAGCATTATACTACACGGAATCCTATCACTGCGTCTTATTGGCAACTTTATAAAAGGGCATAATATTTTACGATTTCTGCAAACTATTTTCCAAGTAACGCTTTCGTACTGTCTATACAAGAAATAAAATATCGCATAGGACGAGGGGTTCGAGAGTTCGTACCCCACATTGGACGTCTGCTTCGAGGCTTTGTCACTCGATTCAAATAAGCTCTGGCGCTGCGATCCGTACGCGGCGATTTTGGACACCCCGTCTTTCGTTAAAATCGATAAATATTGCCCTGTTCAAAAGGAAGTGTCTCAACCTATCTTAGAAAACAGATATAATCATAATGATAGAATGAAAGATATATTTTTCTAATTTACTAATAAACACGTATCGACGCAAAAGCGACGATGCACTTTAGAGAACGCGCTCCCGATTATTCTATAGATAGATGATTTTGTAGAGAGAGAGAGACAGAGAGAATAGTATGTCTTTCTAGTTACGCAGACGCACACCTGCCATCTTAAAATTTGAGGTTGGAAAAGACGCGTTCCAATATTGTTGCAACCAAAATATTTTTCATCGTTTATAATTATCTAGATTTGTAAATCATAACAATTAAAAATTTTTAAGATTTATTTTCTCATCGAATAAATATCAATTTAATCTTCTTTTTAATAAATAAATTGACAAAACTATTACTTGTTTTGAGAAGAAACAAACAGCTGACTTTAATATGAGAACATAGTTAACTTCACGAAGTTGCGTGAATTATTCTAAATTTGCAATAAGCCTACGCATCTATCGGCCGTATTATATAATCGTAAAATCATACATCTATTTCCGTATAATTTATTACTTTTTTACTGAAAAAAATATCTTATATTCTTTATGATGTATACTTTAATATAAAGTTGATTTTATCGATTAAATGTCGCTTTTGGATTTCCGTCATTGAAGCTATCTTCGTATTATTTATTTATAAAATATTCAGCGTTTAGTTTATCTATTGTATTTTTATACAAAATATCTTGATTTTGTATTCTAGACATATTATAAATATAATGGAAACAAATTTAAAAGACACATTTTGACAACATTTTATACAACACGAGTAATAGACGCATGCGCACGTATCTCTCTAACTTGACTTCCGTTTTGTACTACCTTCCTTTTCTTCATAAACGTTCAAGATGGTAGGTGAAGTTTACATTTTATGGTGTTTTCTAAATCCATTATTAAATTTTTAATCCTAAGTTTATATAGTTTATAAAAAACAGTGCAATTAAAGAAATAATATTTACTATGATTTTGAATTTACATTTTATATTTCTTCGTCAAAGTAACATTGTTGTCAATAATGAACATAACCTTTAAAATACTTGAATGTTCAAGTTTCTACTTCTTTTATAATCAAATAATAATGTATAGTCAACAAAATTTTGCAAATAATATCAGTAAAAAAACTCTTTAGACTTTTTGATTTAAGTTGTCCTTGATATTAATATTACGAAAATGCATATTCGATATTATTAAATTTTTCTATTTAGAACTACAACTTTATATGAACATTGAAATGTGATCCATTTCATTTACAGGTAAACGTACCGAAGCAAAGACGTACTTTTTGCAAGAAATGCAAAGTACACAAACCACATAAGGTGACACAATATAAAAAGAGCAAAGAAAGACATGCGTCACAAGGTAGAAGACGTTATGACCGTAAACAACAAGGTTTCGGTGGTCAAACAAAACCTATATTCAGAAAGAAGGTATGTTTATTTTTCAGATTATGTTATATGTACATAATAAAGAAAATGTTTAATATTATAAAACAAATATATAATCTGTAATTGTATTTAAAATATCTTCTTACATACTATCATTGCTACATATTATCAATCAATACTAAGATTTGTGTTACAATAGTATTTCTTTTTCATCGATAGGCTAAAACTACCAAGAAGATAGTGTTAAGAATGGAATGTACAGAGTGTAAGTACAGAAAACAAATTCCTCTTAAAAGATGCAAGCACTTCGAATTAGGTGGTGACAAGAAACGTAAGGTAAATACATTACAACAATTTTACATACCTAAATTCTATGAAATACTAATGTTTAAAGTACTAATCTTTAATATATTATTATTTTCAGGGACAAATGATTCAGTTCTAAATGATTTATTTTACGCTATGTTCTGTAAATTTAATAAGAAATAAAATAAATCTGAATTTTTATATTTGTTTATTTTATTAAGAGTGATTTTTTGATATAACAAATATGTTAACGATAGTATGTTTATAACATTCAATTAGTTAGTCACTTTGACTCGCAGTTGTATTTGCCACATTCGATTTGCTTTTAGAAGATATATGTTGAGGCTCGCTGTTATGGTTAAAAGATAAAAATGCTGTTATTGTTGATTAAAAATACAGAATAGAAAATTACAACAAATGCAATGAATATTCGCAATATAAAATTTATCCTATAAATAGAATCATGCATCTTTACAATTTCAAAATGCAATGAAATAATGATTTATTATGATTATTAATAAAAGTAAAGACTTACTCCAAAACAGTCGGGTCCAGTCCTTCTTGTTGTACTTGTAATTTGACTGCTTCTTTTTGTGCACCAAAATGAATCATTCTAAAATATTTATCATAACGAGGATCTCTTTCAACTTGCTGTATACAAGATTCATTGCTACTAGATTTGTTTTCCTCTACGTTATCTGGTTCATCTATTTTTGAGACTTCTACATTCTCAGATTTAACTTCATTGTTTTCTTTGATGTTATCATTTTGAATATCTGTGCTTGGTTGCAAGTCTGGTATCGAAGATAGCTGATAAAGACGATACATGATGTTAATTAATAAATAGGTTTAATATTTAACAGAAATAAAAAGTATTGTTAATTTTTTTAATACATACCCGAGATTCAAGAATTGCTAAAGATGCTTCTACTCTTTGAAGTTTATTTTCAAATTCAAATAATTTCTCTTCACATGATAGTGCAAATTTATTAAGAAACGTTACAGTATGTATAATAAAATGATTAATAAAAGAAATTGTTCTTTTTTGATTTATCGGTGGAACCTTTGAAGGAAAAATAACACTTAAATTATCATTAAAACTAAAGTAAAAATAATATTAATTTCAAGTTATACGTTACATGCAAAGAAAAATGGATGTTTAAATATTTCCACCTTTGTATAATCAATAGTAGGCTCGATAATAGGCATTTTATAATCATTCATCATGTATATAAAAGTAATTTTACATAAATTCTGTGAAAGCAATAAGTGTCAAATTGAGAATCATATTTCCATAGATCATTAGTTACTGGTTGGTTAACTTCATCCATTTTCTTAACTTCGTGTCGACATCTATTAAGGTATTTCAGTACTTACGATTACATGTTGAATATATTCTTAAAATAAATAAAATGCTATATTTTAAAATTATACGTAAAAGAAAGTTATAAGAAAGTATAAAAAAATGTCAATATAATTTTTTTATAAGAGGATGAATCATTTAACAAAAGTTTCGATTTCTCTTTTATCTAATAACATAAAGTATCAGAAGATAATTACAGAGGTATTTCGACTGTTGGAAAATAAGCTTGATCTATTGTATAGTACAGTCAATAATTTCTTTAAAAATTGTCCAGTAAGTCTATGTAGTTAGACTCAAATGGCACTTTCTTTTCCAAATTTATGATAATTTATGGTTCTTAAAAGTTTTACTAATAGAAAATGCCTTTATTTAAAATTCTGGTTTTAATTTATAAGAAAGATTATATGAGCTTTAAAATAGTTCTATTATCCTCGATGCCGTTAGTAACATACCGTTAATTCTGAAGAAAACCGGGTTGAATAGAAAAATGTATTGAAATAAGCAGGTATACGATGACTAACGTATCTTTTGAAACAAATCTTTTCTCAAATTTTATTTTCTATTATACTCTTACGAATATTATCCTAAACCTTAAATACAAACTTATAATGTTTCTATTAAGAATAATAAATGTAATAGTATAGTATAAGTATTGATAAATTAACATATTTTTTATTAAAAGAATTTGTAATTTTTATAACAATACATACATCAATATTTTTTTTATGGAATGTTATATAATTTCTTATATATATATTAAATTTAAATGGAAGAATATAATTATTTATACATGTATATATTAAATTTAACATATTTGTGATTTTATTTTTTCTTTGCTTCATCAATCAAACACAATAACTCTCTTCGTTTAGACTTAACATAGGAATTAACAGTATTTAATTTACAATCTCTTATTTTACCATTTTCTAAAGCATGACGAGAAATTATATCCGTAAAACATAAAACATATAATCCACAATCATATCCATTATCTTGTTGCGGACATTCCACTTCAATGAATTTTTTCTCATTTTTACAATGAAAATACAACATGAGGTTATTGGTAAAGATTGAAGCTATCGATCCATTAGTACCTTGATAAGAATCAAAATGAAAATAAGTTTCTTCTGGCTTAGAATATACTAATAAACTCCAATGCGATCCACCAGGTACATCTTTTCTATTCATATTATTTAATGGGAAAAAAATAAATTTCTTAATAGGAGCTTCGATGGGTTCTAAAAATATATCGTACTGCGCCGGATCTGTCATTTTCAATAGTTGAGTTAATTCCGGACTAATATAAAGTATTTCATTTTTATTTGGGATATTTAGATGATTATCTAAATACTCAAGGTAAAATCCAATAATAACATCATTGAGCCAATGTTGACCTTTCAGTAAATCTACATCAGAATTGCGAAGTAGACAATCTTGATAGCTCAGTACTATTTCGTTTGGATTTTTATTTGCCATGTTATAAGTAATAACACAATTTAATTCATTGCCACTGATCACGTAAGTAAACAAGCTATCCTTTAAGGTTATGTTTTAAATTAGACATTCATATATGATATCTTAATGTTCTGATACAAATTTTTCATATGAAATTGTTAATTGTAGAAATAATATAATAACAATGTATTTGTAATACATAAATGATTTATAACGTAATTTATAAGAATTTTTTGTTATTATTATTATTCAGTTTGACTCACTTGCTATTACATAGCATACAACAAGAAGTCTAATCATTACCAACGATCGACCATGGTTACAAAAAATTAAAAAAGTATATTCGTTGAATAAATATCAATAAATATTATCTTTGAATGTTTGTTGAACAATCATATAATTGAATAATTTTCATAAATTTTCTTTATCTTAATGATAATACGGAACATAGTTTTGTACAAAACAATGTAGTTCCCAACTTTATCTTTCGAAGTTAAAAAATTTTTAAAGACCGACATATTATGTTTCTAACTATGTCTAATACTATCAAAATTTTATCAAACAAATTTTCAATTTTACGCAAGTGAACATGTTTCTATAAATTCCACGTTGAGAAACACTGCTTTAAGTAATGGACAAGTCTAAGTTCAAAGAGTCATATGCTTTTGTTTATCATAAAAAGGAAAACTCCTTTCTTACCAAACGATATGTAATACGTATAATATGAAAAAATTAAATAAGTTCATTTAAATTTGGCGACAAATATATTAAAATTCATAAACATATGGATTCTGAAGGTACAAATTATGTTGTCAACGATTTATAATAGACACGCTCTATTAGGTATGAATTAGATGGCAAAAGATCATTACTATAAGGTTGACTGTTTTCAACGCATCATCGGATAACATTAATATCTTTCTAACGGAACACTGTGTAATATTATTTAAAGATGTATCTTTGTAAAGGAAAAGGTAAAGGAAAGTCAATCAAAAATATTAATGCAATAATGCAAAATATGATTGTTTAAATATATTAATTAAAATTAAATTAAAGATTAACTTTAAAGATTTTTTTTTTAAGAAAATAATTTTAAAAAAAGTTGAATTTTTAATATCAAATGAAAAACATTATCAGTTTATAAAAATTTCTTTTCATTTTCCAGTAAGTTCTCGAAGTTGTTTATCAATCTTCAAAGATTAATCGAGAGAGAAGAAATCGATAGAGGGGATGATGTCGTAGCTCGAGACTTTAATGAGGGTTTAGCCTGGGTTTGTTAAGGTCCCCTTTGTACAAAAGCGAGGAAATTCAGTGAAAGAAGCATCAGTGACAGTGCTTTCGAGGTTAGTGGAACATACGAGCTGTCTCGTTGTAAGACATAAGTCGCTTTTACGAGTGACTACGTTGTCTTTTTCTAACTCTATAAACACATTACAGGTACAGTAACGTAATACCATCGTTAGTTACCTGGAGATATTAAAAAAAGATATTTATATTTTCTCTTCATTTAAGGTAATAAAATTTTACGTTTAGATCGTTAGAAAAGTTCTAAAGAAATTAAAACATTGAAAGATGAATAGATCTAGGTATGTTCGTTTGCAGATGTTTTTGGTAAATAAGAAGGAGAGAGAGAGAGAGAAAGAAAGAAAAAAAGAGAGAGGTGTTGTGAAAGGTCGAAATCTTTTATTAATAATAAATAGAAAGAAAAAGAAATGAAATTAAGATGAGAAAAAAGGTCAACGTAGAATAAGAAAGAAGCGAAGAAAAAAAAAATTTTGTGTTCGCCGGAAGTCCAAGTCCCATCATAGTTTGTTGCTACGTCACTGTTAGGCCCCCGTGACACACATCAATGGTAGCGAAACTAACGGTACAAGCGACGATGACCTACTCCTCGTCTTGCTCGACTCTCCTCCCTTTTCTTCTTCTTCTTCTTCTTTAAATACCTCTTTCTCTCTCTCTCTCTCTCTTTCTCTCTCTCTCTTTCTCTCTCTCTCTCTTTCTCTCTCTCTCTCTTTCACAAGGAGGATTCACGAGTACAGAAGAGTCGATCCGATCTTCGTCCTCGAGAGGGGCGATCTTTTTTCAAGTGAACGTTCACGTTGCATGGGCGGTGGGTGACGAGAGAACGAGGAGGAGACTCGAGGTAGGCGAAGAGAGAGGCCAGTAATGAAAGCATCCTCTTTGCACGCGGAGGTGCTGTCATGTAGCCACGAGCCCCTCTACCCTTCGCGAGTACTCCGCGCGAATACTCTTCGAGCTTTCTTCTCTAATATATACACCTTTTTATTTTATTTTCTTCGTCAAAGTGCCGATAAACTGTCAGTGAAACCGATAGACGACAGTGGCCATAAGCGGGACCGCGACGTTGATTGTGTCGGGGCCCTCGCTCATAAAGAAAGAAAAAAACAAAAAAAAAAAAAAAAAAAAAAAACAAAACAAAAAGAAAAACGAAAACAAAAAAAATAGAAAATAAAAAAAAACAATAAAATTAAAATAAATAAAACGTCGAAAACGACGTGCCCCAAACTAAGCGAGTTATGAAATTAATCGCGTTTCTTCTTCTTCAGGTGAGTTCATTAACATGAGTCTAAGTTTAAGAGCAAACCTTTTTTTCCTTGAATCTCCTTTCTTTTACGTCTTTTTTCATCTTCTCCTTTTTTTCTTTTTGTTTTTCTTTTTCAAATCATTACATTAACTGTAATGCATCAACTTCCGCCCTATTATCTTTAACTCGCTTTACGAAAACCGGTCGGTCAATATTCATCGATTGAACTCTTGATCGAGTCGAGATTTCGGACTCGATTTGCGATCCCGCTTGCACGTGGTAATGACAACACGAAGCCTGTAGCATTAACGGGATCGTGCTAACTAGTCAGTGATATGTTAATCTGATCGACAACCAACATTCGATTACTTTTCATCATTTATTAGTTATATTATACACGTCACGCACACACATATATGCATACGACGTAATTACAGGTGATCAGAGTGCAGCTAGTGAGATGTCAAGGAAATGGTGGTGGTGGTCCAAGTACTTTCGGATACGACGCATCATCAGCGTGCAGCAAACCATATTCGCGTGCCGGACGTACAATTGCATTCGCAATCGTTAATCTTCCATGTGACTTTCGCCGGCAGAGTTGGTGCACGATCGCTGGTAGCTCCTATCCCTGGTACTTTATTTTCTTTATCTTTTTATTATACCCCATATGTACGTATCCCTCTTTGAAAATATCGATATAGCTCTTGATACAACATACTTTTTTTTTTTATTTACCAAATCAACCTATTCAAAGTTTCTATTCCATTGACATAGATAGATCGAAGAAAGTGTTTCGCAAGCGTACGTCAAAACATATTTTTCATCTATTGAATTTGATATGAGTAGAACATGATCCGACTATGTAATTCTACTATGCTTTAGTTCGATATATTATTAGAACACATATATACAAATGTGAATGATTTGTTTATGTTCATTCGATTATTTCGATCGTAGGCATGCTGTACGTCGTTTTGTACAAGAAAATCAAGGTCTGATGAGACGTATGTATGGCGATGAAAAATATATAAACGTTTTGAAGGCAGAATTTGAGAAGAACGACATAGAATTAAAGTATGATGATTACTATCATCATTTTTCCGATGACTCTAGGTAAGTACCATGATATAAAATGTCTGAAAAATTTACAAAAAGGATTTACTGATTCTCTAACATATTTATTTCGCTGATAAATCATAGGGGATATCAATACGAGGACGAATTTGATTCGATAGAAGACGAAGAGAGGATACTAAGAGTCGATGGCGAAGAATATGGGGGTCGTAGTTTCACTAGTAGATCCTTTAACGATCCTACAACTAAGAGATTTGGTAAATTTCCAAAATTGAACGAATACACCAGATTGAGAGCGACCGACGATTCCTCCACTAGCACAACAACAATGGTAACTTCTTCAGCGACGAGTACAACAACGTCATCGACTACGATAGTGTCTTCCATGGGATCTTCGACTACGCCGGTAACCTCGACTATGGTTGCTTCAACAACAGCTTCATCATCTAGTGTTGATGTTACTACAAAAGAAATCGATAGTACACAATCCTCAGCTTCAACTACACTTAAAAGAGTGGACAACGAAGTCGAAGAAAAAAACGAAACAGTTATACACACGCAGATCGTTCGCGAGCAGAATTTAAGCATCAACGAGATATCCGGACAAGTTGATAGAATAGATGAGAAGATTGATGAAAAAGTTGAAGACAAGTTGGAAGAGCCAACGGAACAAACGGAAGTACCAGAATTGGACATTGAGGATGATTCGAATATTGAGAGTTTGGATGCGCCAACTTCGTCAACAGTTTTCACTAAAGATTCCTTCGACGTAGGCAAAGAAACGACTATTCACGAGACCTTTGTCAGTGATGATCAACAGAAATTCAGACCGCGTCCAGAATATAGACCGTCGACGAGACCAGCAACGGTAAATATGGAAGGTCAGCTTTATCAAGACGTTGCCGCGAAGGATCAACAACAGGAACAACCTGTTTTGAAACTCCGTGGAGTGTGAGTATTTGCATGAACGTGGACTCATGTAAAATAATTTTAACTTAACTTAATGTAATAGATTCATTTGTGGTATATAGAAATGCTTGTCCTGTAAAAGAAGAAGTAGTAGCACCATTTTGGGCTAATAATACTAGAGGCGAGGTACTTGCTCTCCTTAATCTTTATCCTTTTGAACAATACGTCCATTGGGAGAAGTGCACGTAAGTAGCAATAATATCAAACGTTATTTCATTTTCTCTGTTATATTTCACTCTTGAATCTGAACAAAAGATTTGAATTAATCAAGTCTTCTTTAATTTTTTTACGCCAGACACGAAAACAAGCAGATGTACTGTAGGGATGGATGCAGATGCGAACAGCAGTATAGACTTCATAGACTCTTAGCTTATGATCCCAATAACGAGTGTCGTGGCATATTCAGCGATTGGTTCAAGTTTCCAAGTTGTTGTGTTTGTCGCTGTTACGACTTGCCTCTTGAATTTCGGGTTACGTCGCGATCGCCTCGCACTCAAAAACAAAGGCTCAGGGTCCAGCCACCTCGTTCTAGATTCTCCTAATATTAAATGACAGAAAATATACATAGTGAGCCACCGAAGAAAGTACACAACGAAATTTAGGTACTGTATATTGTTTCACTTCAAAACCGATTATTACAACAAATTAAACGTAAAAGACTGTTTTAATAAGAAAAATAAGAAAAAGTGAAGCAATTTGTTTTGTTAGTTCACATGATGACGCACCCTGTATATATATATAATATATATATATATATATATATATATATACACACATAATATACCTATAAATGCACAAGATTTCCGTATACGTTAGCAGCGCTCTTGTATAAAAACTTAGATTTATTTGCGCACGCAAATAACGAAGGTTATTTATTTAATGAAGAAGATTTATTTATATTCTCGATAGAGATAAATAAGATAATGGTTTATTATTAACTAATTTGTTATTATTAACTATTAACGCGATTATTTAATCATAATTAATACCAAAATAAGTACAGTCGTACAACACGATCCTTTGATAAAAAATATTAATATATATATATATATATATATATATATATATATATATATATATATTATGTACACATATATATATATATACATAATACATAATTATATATATAATAATATAATATATATTATATACATACATATATATACATAATACATTAATATATACATATATATATATATATATATATACATACATACATACAAATATTCTATTCAATAACAAATGTCTTCACATATAATATTTGTTATGTAGTTTAAAAAAAAAAGAAGTATAAGGCTCGTGAGTAAAATGATTTAAACAGCATATATCTCTCGTTACTTTCATTTATTAATAATTTGCGTTTGAACGATTTTATATACATTTATAGATACACGCAACACGCGTATTTTGCTTGCACGCGATTCGCTGACTTAATTATCTATGATTATATAATATAAGTATATATATATATAATAACAACAGCCAATACAGAAATTTTACTCGTAATTACTTGAAAAGATATAATCAATTGTTATTTATCAAGCCTTTTAACGAGTATAATAACGCATTCAAAAAAAATTACTTAACTTAACGCATGATTTACTCACAACTCTGTTTGCAATAGTCTTTCTTTTTTTTTCATTATTTTATTTAGTTTCCGTGTAACAAACGTGATAATTTTTTAGCAAACGGACTCGATTCCAAAAATTTTATTTGATAGTTTAAAAAAATTACGCTTGTCATAATTAAATTTATGCAAAAATAAAAAAAAGAAATTACAACTGTACGTTTACACGACGAAAGAAACTTTTGAAATAATAAAGAACGATGAACATTCAGGTTCTTTCGAACGTATGACTTTATTTACGCCAAAATAGCGCAATAGTGATATCAAATAATTACCTTACATTGATCAATGTTACATATGCATACACACAGGTGTATATATTTTCTATAAATATATATATTTATCCGCGTGCATATGATGATATAATAATAATATTAATATTAATAATAATAATAATAATAAAAATAATAATATTAATAATAATATATAATAATAACATGAGACGTTAAAGTCGTTAATATCACGTCGTAATACATGTATGTACATATTATATTGTTTATATATAAATATATACATACATATATCCAATATACGCATGTATGTATAAAGAAGCTGTGTATATATAAATAGAAATACAATTATAAATATAGATTAAAATATATTTGGTATCAAAACCATTGCAGGGAAAATATTTGAAGGAAGAAAACTTAATATATATATATATACATATATATATACATATACATATATATATTGTAAATCGCTTTGCATTATTCTCGCAATAGTATGTAAGATAACATAAGTGCATATGTTTTTTAATTAACAAAATGTTTATAATAAAATCAAGCGGATAAATAAAGTGAACCTTTCCGTTAATGAAGTATACGTTGTAAAAAATATTTACGTTTCATTGTAGGTTAATAAATTTCCCTTATATCGCATTCTCAACCTGTTTTTTTTTCTTATTAATATTCATTAAACGCTCATCTGATCAAAAAATAAAATATATAAAGGTATTTTTCTTTCTCGACTTTTCTTATGAAGTGTAGTACGCATCAAATAACGGTTAGGTACTATATGTGTATATATATATATATATATATATATGTATGTATATATACATATGTATATATATATGTATGTATATATACATATGTATATATATATATATATATATATATATATATACACACATATAACTGAATTAGTTTCGACGCAGAACATTGAATAAAAGAAGTCGGCGCATAAATAAGTAATATATCTACTTAATTGTGTAAGAAGATAAAATGCTTATTGATATAAATCTCGATTTATGTATACAAAGGATAAAGGAATATTTTATTATTTTCAAAGGATACGAATAATGTTGTGCACTCAAGATCATTGAAACTAAAAACAATAAGGATTTACGACGCTTAATTACAAAAATGTGTTTCAACTTTGTTCTCTTATGATTGTACGTATCACTATGATTTTCAACGATTTTTTTTAGTTTTCATTTTTTTTTTTTTTAATATTATCTTTTTGCTTCAATATATCAGGCAGGATTTTATTGCGGAGGTTTCGTATTAAAAGATACGTTCTTCGTCTGTTCTTTTTCTTTTCTTTTCTTTTTTTTGTTTTTTTTAAGAACGACGAAGTATTTGACAGGCAGTATAATATGTGTGTGTGTTGTGTCTATATACGTTGTGTGTGTGTGTATGGCAGGAAGAAAAAAATATAGGAAAACAATAATTGGCTATTAAAAGAAAAATAATAAAACAAGAAAGTCTTAAGAACAAATCATTTTACGTTCAGACAATTTCCTTGCTTATTTATGACTTTTTAAAAATATATTCCTTTAAATAATGATATAATAATATATCGAATACAAAATGTGATGAAAGAATATAAAAGGCCCTTTGACATCCTGATATTAGGAACAATGGATATCGGGATAAATGGGCGATATAAATATAAAAAGGTATAAACGATAATAATCACAATAATCGACGGAGTTCACAATATCTCATCTTAATTATTTATCCAAATACTGTTAATTAAAACTCCATTGGTTTAGTTTCAATTGCGGCACGCATATTTCCGTTTATAATTTTCTCAATAACAAAGTCATTTATCATCGTTCGATGATAAAAATATTGCACTAAGTTAAATTGCAAAGTTTTTTCATTCTTTTTTCTTTCTAATAACAAATGGTTCGATTTAAATAATTCGCTATAAGTTCGTGTTCGCGCTAAGAGACCACTCTATAGATTATTATCACTAATTAGTAATAATACATCTCGTAGTATCAAACCTCGTGAAAATTGTAACAAATTCAAATCTCTCGGTGCATCGCCAGGAAGGCATCGATCATCATTTATTACCCGTTACTTTTGCCTGCAAAAGTTATTTACGTATTTATATTATTATTACACCGCATATTACAATTAAGGAACGCGCGCGGTCTAATAAAGGTAATAAAAAAGATGTAAAATTAAAAAGAAGAAATTTTTTTAGAAAATGCAAACTCTTTCACGGGCCGATTTATACCTCTTAAACAGAAACATATAGCTATTGTTCCTAATCATTTGAAAACTTTTTTTTTATACCAATACTATTATGTAAATTTAATCAATTGGAAGACTTGGAAGAGATATAACGCGAAGAAAGGATAAAGGAAATAAAAATTTGTCAAATTGATCACAGATGATAATTTTTGGAGGGAGTTTGATACGCGAAGGATGGAAAAGGTAAAAAAGGGAATAATGGAAAGGAAATAGATATACACATGATCGCTAAAAAATTTAACATAGAAGATAGAAGAATACTATCGAAGACTAGTCGTGATCTACGTTCGGAATAACGCATATTCGCAATAACGACGTATGTCGTATTAATCGCATCATTATTCGAACGAGATCGCCGTTTTTTCCGCTTCTCCGCTACGTAATATATCACCATCAACGCTTCAATGATTATTAATTATTAGTATCGTCTTATTATTGCATACGTGAATTCTGAGTGCACCCGGCTTATGCACCAATCATATCTTAAACGTAAAATTCTAATTACTATGTTTGAGATCCAAGTGAACAAAGTTTACGGTAAACAGAGACTCCTGTGCTTTAATACAATTTTCCGATGAAAATAAATTATATCAATTTACTCATAAATATTTTAAATAATTTCCGATATGTATGGTATATATATATATATATATATATATCATAGATATGTATATATATATATATACATATATATATATACACACATATATATATACACACACACACACTGCTTTACAAGTTATCTCTGTTCACTTGTTCTTTTGATTGCAATCAATCATGCTGAGAATGAGACGAATAATTTCAATTCTCTTTTGTAAATGTACGCACTTGTGTGTATGTGTCGAACAATTTTACATATAAAATGTGTGCTTTAAGTGCGAAAATATCAAAAATGTGTTATTAAATACACGACATCTATATATACTTATCTATATATAAGTATTGCCGAAAATATGCATTTATTATAATATACTATATACGTACGTATATAAATATTCGTGTATATATATATATATATATATATATATATATATATATATATGTATGTATATATATATATGTATATTTGATATTTATATATACGTATAGAATAGTTAAGTTGATATGTCGTCGAAATAGTAATCTTATACATATCACAGTACTGTGATTGAGAATAATCATAATCACACGTTACCCTTCTTTTTCTTCTTTGATACTATTTTGCGCTTCGCTTAGCCCTCGATTCATTTCATTTTTTTCTTTCCCTATGTCGAAAAATAAGAAAAATGTAATTTTTTTTTTAGCGAGGCACATATTTGAGCAAAACTTGAAACCGAAGTTAAATACGAGGGAAAGCAAGCTTTTTTGTTGACTTCATATAATAATTAAAATATTAACACTTTGCCGTCCGCACGTCTCGTAAAAATTTATTCACTTGGCGCCGGCAGCTCTAATTCGGATTACTTGGCTTGTCGCACAAGTACTTATAGAAACAAAAAACTTGTTGACATATGTAACTTATTTTTACCTAAACAAAACACCAACAGAATGCAAAAGATACTAAAGTGCTGTCCCGGCCACTGAACGATACTATGCACATACTGTGGTGTCGCCGGACGTCATAGTGTTAATGAAAATTTTTTTTATAAAGTTTAGAGAAAAAATATAATCAAAGTAAAATAATTGAAAGAGCCGTTG